TGGTCCTGGAGGGCAATGGAAAGCATCTCTTCAGTTCTGGTCTCTGGCTTTGTTATTGGCTCTGGTTGGCTCCAGGGTTTCCTCCTTGATACTTCTTGAGTTTATACTGAGAGCACTGTCAGCTTGGGGCACAGCGGTAAAAACAAAACATATGGCCCTATTATAAAGAATGACTGCATATTAGTAATACTGCTTTCATTTGTTATTACAGGAATCACAAAATGTAAACTTGGATCTGCTCTTGGTCCAGTGTCAGTTCTCTCTGGGCTGTGGACTCACTTGTACTCTAGTTTATATCCACCAGGGTGCGCCACATAGCACTTTAGGCTTGTTTTTGGCAGCAGCTCTGAGTTGGGCCCTGGCAAGTTACAGCATGGGTCTGTGGAGACATGTGGCTAAGCTGTACCCTTTGCACAGTAAGGAGCGTTACTGTGGGAAGTGCATCTCCCTGCTGACCTCGGGACATAGCATACTGACCAAACTGCAGAAAATGGTCATCCTGGTTTTCGCACTTGCGGCTGCTGTTTCCACTGCCACAGTGTTTGAAAACTTCCTATCCCAGAAAGATGCTCTGAAGCTCTGGACTCCCCTCACTCTCTGTTACACCCTGCTGGTGGTCTATATTCAAGGTAAAATATGAAAATTGTTAGTGTGTCTTTATTTAGTGTTAGACATTAATTTATGTATTCATAATTGAAAATGCACTGCAGACATTAAAGAGCCCTTATTACACTATTTTCTGATCTATGTTATTATGTTGTTTCCTTATAAAAAAAAGTTGATGAGAAAGTTGTGTTTTGAGTTCTTTTCTGAAACAGAAAACACTGTTTCACTTTGCAATGTCATGTGGCAATGCAGGAAGTGCTCCACTATGTTTTTAATTTTTATGCCACCACTGACCACCATTTCAGTCCTGGAATTGCCAGTCTCTACTAATCAAAAGGTAAAAAGTAACTATTAACTTTAAAACTACTGCTTCATGATAACACAAGGTGGAATAACACATTTTGAGTTTTGTAGATGTATTTAAATGACTAATAATAAAGGGTTACTCAAAGATGTATGAATGAATGAAACAAAACACAACTTCAGGTATGCTTTTGAGGTGGTGACAACATTCTTAATGTTAATTTTGCCTAATGTAGTGCCTTTAACTGATTTTCAGGTATTATATTATACAAAATTGACTCATGTGATCTTTAAGCCATGTTACAATGTTATTACCTTCTCAAAAACATACCTGAGGCTAAATATGCAGGATTTGTGTGTTAAACATGTGTGAATGAAACAAAACACAACTCCAGGTATGTTTGTGATGAGGAAATAACATTATAACATAGATCAGAAAATAGTGAGTGCAATATGGGCCCTTTAAATTGAGTGGAAGATATGCATAGGATAGCTTCACCAATCCATGGGTTACATAGGCTACAGTCAAAAGTGGTAAATCATGCCCAAGTTTACATTATAGGTATCTGCACTTAAAGGTGCCCTATGTAACTTTTCAGGTGGACCAAAAACTTTTAATTAAACGCACTGATACCTGCACTACACATAGGTTGATTTATTGATTGATTATTAATATAATCTTGTTGTTACTTGTCTGATACACGATGAAGAAAAGACTGAAACATTTCTTGTTGGTGCAAGAGTAACAAACACATTTACAGCAGTATTGAAATAAATATACACTTATGTGCATTTTTTGGAGGTAGACCTATAAAGCTAATCCACATACAACTGCAATTTTGGTAATTTACCATAAACTGTTTGTTGATGTGTTAATCTTTGCAGATGGACAGAACCGTCAGACTGTGACTGAAGCCCTGATCCATTCTGTCCTGGTGCGTTTGGGTGCCCTCCTGGTCCTGATGTTAACTGTGGGAGACTGGGCTGATGTGCTCCATGTCCTTATAGCATTTTTGGGAGAAGCCGTTTGTTTGCTGCCCTCACAGGACATTCTACAGGCTGTGTTAAAGGTATGTACCCATAAAAAAATACATAATTTACTAATTGTAGTAAAATACAAATGCTTAATTTTTCATTTGTTTCTTTTTAGGAGGACGAAGAAACAAGCAATCTAATCTCCAAATATGGTAACAGATACAATACTTCCAGTAAATTTAAAATCTCAACAAAAGACAAACAATTTGCAACATCATCTATGACCTCTAGTGAGAAAAGGACATGACTTTGATGCATGATAGGTTTGGGACAAGATCTGGCAAGATCTGGCAAGACTAATTTGCCAGATTGTTCACACATATGAAAAATCATCTTGTGAAATCAACTTTATATTTTATTTATTCTAAATTATATCAAAATCATGAACACAATCTTGCATCTTGTCTTATATGGGAATTGTGTCTCATTCCACTCCTAATACACACTGAGGCTATGTTTTTGCATTGAGAAGTATTTGACAGATATTTTTATTCAAAGAATCAAAAATGTGCTTTCTGTGTAAATATGTGGTTGAATCATACATAAACTGTGAGTGTATTCATTTGACAATAAATATGTGACATATTTCTTTCTAAACTATGTCTATTATTTTGGGGCTTTCTGGCATAATGTTGGATTTTCAATTTCTGGTATATCGTTATTATTTGATCCATCCATCCATCCATTTTCGTCCGCTTATCCGGGGCCGGGTCGCGGGGGCAGCAGCCTAAGCAGGGACTCCCAGACTTCCTTCACCCCAGACACGTCCTCCAGCTCCACCGGGGGAACCCCGAGGCGTTCCCAGGCCAGCCGAGAGACATAGTCCCTCCAGCGTGTCCTGGGTCTTCCCCGGGGCCTCCTCCCGGCGGGACATACCCAGAACACCTCCCGAGGGAGGCGCCCAGGAGGCATCCGGAACAGATGCCCGAGCCACCTCAACTGGCTCCTCTCGACGTGGAGGAGCAGCGGCTCTACTCCGAGCTCCTCCCGTGAGACTGAGCTCCTCACCCTATCTCTAAGGGAGCGCCCAGCCACCCTGCGGAGGAAACTCATTTTGAGCGCTTGTATCCGCGATCTTGTCCTTTCGGACAAGATTTTATTTGATTTACTAAGGAATTACTAAGGAAAGCGACATTTAATTATACTGTAAATATTAAAGATTACTGATAATAATATTAGCTAACAAATTTACGTACGGGTATGAATAAAGCAATCTAACCTAACATAATAATACAACTAGGTTTCAGTCCCTTCCAAAATTATATTGATCCACGAATAACCCACACTGTCGTTAAACAAAAGATTGCTTAATGATAGACTTTAAAGTGTCCATTTTGCTCTAAGAATTTAATCAAGTGAGGTTTTCTTTAGCACCATAACAGAAATCTCTAGAACTCTGAAGTTTGGAAAATGTCTAAAAATTTGACTCAGACTTTAATGGATGAAACATAACCTTAACCAGTAAAAGTGGATAACCCCTAAAATGGACTGATGAGGTTTAAACCCCTGCTAAACTTCAAAGTGAACATTTTCTGAGGGACTTTCTTCCTGTGTCTTGCCCTGCATTTCCTTTGCCTAAATCCATTTCCTCTTCAGCTGCCTTGTGTAGCTTCTATTGTGAGAATTTATTAAGCCTTGAAGTATCAGATGTAGTGTATAGTCTGACAATAGTGAAAAGTGATCAGATGAGGAGAAGGCGGGGGAGTGAATGAAGTTCAGAGAGTTGTATAAGGTTTTTGGGTACTCGGGGGCGGGGTTTGGGGGTCGGGGGATTGTGTCATCACTAGGCATGCTCCCTCCTGCAGCCATGACATCACTGCAGCATTCCTTTGCACAGAACTGGAACAACACAGACCCCCATCAGTCTCCACTTAACCCTTTCCCATACAATCTGGACTGTAGCCCCTCACACTTTAGAATGCTTGCAAAATCCCGCCATTTAAACTCCAGGCCTTACAAGGTTTGGCTCCAGAATACAACCACAATATTTGCTGATCGGCAGTCCTGATATCGCACACTCTGGTACAAAAAACAATGCAGCTTTTTCTGAGCACTCAGCAGCCATCACTCACTGAGTCCCCCCTTTCTTAATAAACCAACATCTCCTGTTGCACAATGGGCCTGATTCATTGCACTGTATCACTGAAATCCAACACAAAAAGCTAACCAAGAGAATCATGGACAGTACAGACATAACTACAGTACTGTTTGAATGGTTTGCGATAGTGAGTCAAGGATGTAGTGATATGATGATGTGGGGGAAGGGAGAAGGAATGAAGGAAAAGAAAAAAAAGTCAGCAGACACTTTGTGGAAGATATGAAAATACAAGTGACAGAAAATAAGGGTGAACAGAGATGTGGAAAGTTACTCACAAGGAATGGAAATTTAATATTGTGCTTGGCTTGCAATTATAAGAAGATTAACAAGAAGAGAGCTCAATGTAGGGGGCAAAATGTCTTGGACTTCTAATCTAAAATTGATCTATGACTCTCCATAAAAAGTCTTTCTTTATCTTTTCTGCAAAATGGCACATCCATTGCTTTGTTTGCATATGCGTCTCTGTGTGTGTGTGTGTGCATGCCTGCCTGAGTGTTTGTGTGTGTAGGCCTGCCAAGTTTTCATAGCAAATGAATGTGTCATGTTTTTTATTGCACTTTGCCCGAGATTAACTGTTCACCTTTTACGGTTGGAAAGGAGGTGGTATTGTCATTCAGCCAGAGAAGGAGGAGTGGTCGATGGACAAGAGAGAGCAGAGGAGAGGGAGGGACACAAGGAAAAGGAGTGGCTTTTAGCAGAGTCGTCCTCTCCACTGGAGTAAAGTCTTCTACCAGTAAAGACTGTACAGGAGGCAGATTACAGAAACAGACCAGAAGTGAAAGAACGAAGAAACAAAGAAGACAGGGACTGATAGTTAAAGGTATGTAATGACACATATTATCTGATTTGTAGCTTTTTCAATTAATCATTACTGATCATGAAAGTTATGAAACTGTTAGTACCCTGATAGTTTATATAGTCAGTAATGCCAGAGAGCACAATTCAAATTTTTGTTTTACTATTTTTGAAGTAGTGTCAAAATGTTATATAAACCAATTTATATAAACATAACATATAAATAATTGAAATGGTTTGAGCATTATATATTCTTGATGCTCCTTTTATACTCCATCTCCCTCTGTGATATGGATAGTAAACAAAACACTCCTTTAAGCTGTCATTATATTTTGCCATGCCCTATGGTTTTGAATTGTGAGTTGCCATAGAATAAGCATAATTCTGATTAAAATATTGTTTATGATATTTTCACATTTTCAGTTTAATTTGTATCTAGAGTTTACATAGTTATGCCTATTCTAACATATCTTATACAGTACCTGAACTCAAATGTTTACTTTGATGTATTACAGCAATATTATTGCCTTTTCCTTGCTATTGGTGTAGATTCAGCCATGGCCACTGCAGCTCCCCCCAAAAGGATGGTGTCTTCAGTCTTCATCACTCTAGCACCTCCATATCGAGGCACAGTGACCCAGCAGCAGCAGCCCACTCTCCAAGCTCACAGCTCTGCAGTTATAGACAACCAGCAAACTGCAGTCCGCATAAGTCCCACCAACACCTCACCTGTAGCCACGCCAAAGATAAACAACAATATGACAAATGGAGTCAAAGCTAAAAGCAAAGATGAAACTTTAGTAGGTGCAGCTAAACAAGCCCCCTCAAGAGTTGCTCAATCTGCATCAATTATAGCAAAACCTCAGGAGAGCATAAAACCAAAAGGTACAGTTAAATCATTGGTATCATGTATTCATGGGTTTAAGATTCCTGTTAATGCAAGATTTCCATGACTTTTCCCATTCAAAAGATGACAATGATGCTAATGTTTTTGAAGACCATGGATTGGTGGCTGTCAAATTACAGATGTAATAATGCCATACATCCCCATGCAAGAGCCAGTGTTGATGTGATGCTGTCATCCAAATATCCAAATAGAAAATCCACAAATGTTGAACATGATAAGATGAATGACTGCTTGAACAAAATCAGCATATTATATATCTGTCTCCCATTTCTATAAAATATTACAGACTTTAAGAATGTCATCATCATCATCATCATCATCATCATTTTAAACTCAAGAAATTATCATGAGTTATCATGAGTTTAAAAGACCATGCTATGACCATGGAGAGCAATTGAAATTGCCCTATAGTTATAGCAATGTCATAACAATTAAAATCAAAATAATTTATTTTTGAATGAGGAAAGGTCTTATATGGGTCCTTATAACATCATTCATCATCAGGAAGGAATTGTTTGTCTGAAATCATGGACTGTATAAATCCATGAATTCAGTGAAACATGTCTTGTTCTGTTTTTTTTTTTTTTTTTTTCTTTAATTAGATCCACTCCCCTTTCCCCTATCTCCTGCTGTACTACCTTCTTCCGTGGGAACAATTCCTTGTGAAGAAATGCCCCTTCCACCGCCGCCCTCAGCCCAGGAGAGCCCAGTGTGCCCTTTGACCCCAGGCCAGCAGCCAGTTTACAGCAGAGAGGTATGCACTTCACGACTTCTACTCTATTCACAACTCCTTGATCACTGACCTTTCATATTGTTCAAATTGTGTTCTTCTGTTTATTGAAAGCACCATATTAAAATTATATGCAAGAATTGAAAGTGAAATATGATAATTGATTCACGCAATAGGGTCATCATTGAGCTAACCAAACCATGCTCAAAATCTGGAGATGGGTCCCTGAGGCATTGAAAAGTATGTTAAATGCAAAGGAAAACAGATTCACAGAGAGTATAAAAAATATAAGCAGGAATCGATACCTATCTAAAATGTATATTCTTAGTAGTTTTATAATATAAACTTTAAACATGTTCTCTTGGATCCAAAATGGCACCCGTTACTGATTTAAGATTTCAGTTCTTGATGTTGTAATTTTATTTTTGTTTATAGGTAGAAACAAGCACTCCATCTAGTGGGTTAAATAAAAACATGATGGAGGAACTGGTACACCAAAAAAATCCAGACATAAGTGAAGAATGTAAAGGTAAAGTGGTCTATATCTGTACCACCCAGGTTTGACTATATACTGGTTATTACATCCTTTGTTGATGTTTAATTGCTGTTTATAGATGTGTGTGGCTTCTGTCGAAAGTCAGTGAATCTGAGTGAACCAGCCATAGAAGCTTTGAACAGGACTTACCACGAGGCTTGCTTCCAGTGCAGATCATGTCATATCCCACTGGCGGGTAAACAATACTACAACAAAGCGGGAATCCCTCTGTGTGAAGACTGCTACCAGGTACAGGATGTTGTGAAAACTGCAAGTCAAACGTTAACAATTACAACATGACTGCATGCTGAAATATCCACACAATGGCAAACAATTTTGTAAATGCAAAACATCATTCAGCATGCCCTAACAAGACAAAACACTGATAATTTCCTTCTTGTCTCAGGCAAGTCTGGAGCTCTGCTGGGCCTGTGGAGAAGTTATCAAATATCAAGTGATGCGTGCGCTAGAACGGGCCTACCATCCCCAATGCTTTATGTGTACAACCTGCAAACAGCAGATTGGGGAGCAGCGATTTGCCCAAGGGGAAGTTGGGGAAGTGTACTGCCTGCCAGATTATTACAGGTACAGTTATATACAAAACATATCTCTTTTCAGCTATGTTATCAGGAGCATTCTGTGAATCCTACAAATTTGTGTTTGCAAAGGAAATATGCCCCCAAATGTAATGCTTGTAACCAACTGATAATTCCAAAAGAAGATGGTACTGACAGCTACACAATTGAATGCCTGGGAAACTCCTATCATGAGGACTGCTATAGATGTGAGGTAAGGAAAACTATGCTACAAATTAAAAGTATGGAAAAAATATATCTATAAGGTCACAAGCATGTAATATTCTTTCAGATGTGTTTTACTCACCTGACTCCTGAACCCAATGAGCGGGGCTGCTACCCTCTGGATGGGAAGCTCCTGTGTAAAGCATGTCATCTCTCTTTGGTCTCTGCACAGCATGGACAGTGACACAACTTCAGTTAAAGAGGAGACCTGGACATTCCCTTAAAAACAGCCATTTATGCCAATCTATTTTTGATTATCTTGCACATATTAAGTGACACTATATAGAACAAGTATATTCATGAGATAGATAAAGTTGTTTTTGTAATCAGTACACTTACTTGCAATATATGGACTGTAGGTCTAATTTATGAGAAATATCAAGAGGTGAAATCACAATCAAAATTTTCAGTAAAAGTAGTCAAATTAATGGCTGGTTCATCTTGTCTTTGGACAAAGAAATCACAATGCAATGATTAACCAGATGCTGATTAATATAACAACTGATAGATCTGCTATTAGTCTTTATATTATAATTTATTTCCAGTATTTAAAACTGGAAATTCTTTAGAAATTGTAGTATAAATAAATAAATAAATATATATATATATATATATATATATATATATATATATATATATATATATATATATATATATATATATATATATATATATATATATATATATATATTTATATATATATATGTGTGTGTGTGTGTATAATATAATAATAATAATAATAATAATGCATTAGTTCCATTCGTTATATTAGTTCGTATATATATATATATATATATATATATACATATATATACGAACTAATATAACGAATGGAACTAATGCATTATTATTATTATTATTATTATTATTATTATTATTAAAGCATATACCAAGAGTTTTAAAATGACAAAAGCCCGAACATCTACCTCCATTTAAGTCAAGAAACCTAGCCCTGGGGAAATGTAGCCTAACTGTAACAATTTATTTTTGTGTGCACCATATTCCAAAATACAATGAAAGCATCCCTCCAAAATGTCTGGATTCAGGGCAAAATCCACTTCTACAGCGAGAAGAAACGTGGGCGATCTTCTCGCGTTATCATCACGGGGCCGCGCAGCGCGCTCCCAAAACCATCTGGAGCGGCGTTGATGCGCGCTCACGCATACGGACAGAGGACGCAGCAGCTAAAGCTCAAGCTAAAGCTAATCGACAGCAAACAACCAGGCCCATATCGTTCATTTTGTAGAGGCGGACCTCCGACCAGCGGCAGCGATTAAACCGAACCAGATCATATGTGTAAGAAGGGGAAAATTATAACACACGATGGTTCGGGAAACCAGGCACCTATGGGTGGGAAATTTACCCGAACACGTCCGAGAGGAGAAGATCGTGGAGCATTTTAAACGGTACGTTACGCAAGAGGAGCCCTGCGCTCGTTAACCAGCGCGCGCTAGGTTCAGTTCCAGTTGCGGTGGAAGAGGCTAATGCTAACAAGGCTAGCATTAGCCTTTCAACATTAAAATCAGCACGATTTATGCTTTGCTGCTGTTTACTGTATTTTAATGTCGTGTATGATTTATTTCATATGCTTATTTACGTCGAACAGTCGTAGTATTGTTTCCCTTGTTTTATGCAAATACCAAGAGATGGTAAGCTAGTTTTAGCTGCCGAGCTACCACCTAACGAACCAACCATTTTGTGGGAAGTCAAGACGGTGTCATGATCAGATTCAGCACAAACTAAAGACGCTAGCGACTTTGCTGGTAAAATTATGGCACTGAATACAGTTCACGATTATGATCAGTGGATGCTTTATAGCAAAAACACGCATAGGTGTACGTCCCCAATGGTGCAAAAACAATTAACCCCCAAATTGTGAATTCATGAATGATAGCAAGTTTGTCTGCGGCATGACATCGATCGCTCTCACTGCACGACAACCAGTGTTAACTTAACAAAATTGTGTGCCATTAATTGTCGCTAACTAGCAAATAATTTTCTACAGTGAAGCATTTAAATAGCCAAAGTCGTAAACGTGCCGTCTTGTATTCACAGAGGTCATTTATAGCCGTGTAATGTTATATGTGGTCATCATCATTGAGACGTAACTCGGAAGGCCACAAGAGGCTCGACTCATCTTCAGAAGCATATATGCTGTATATGTATACCGTCCTTATGGTTGCACTAAACACACCGTTTTTCCATGTGCATTAAGTACATGCATGTTACATCACACAGAAACTACAATATTACGTATTACAATTATGTCAGTGCATTTGTTTTGAAGATCTGTAAAGTAAACTTTTCTCTTTGTTTATATTACAATGTTCTCATAGGTATGGACGTGTGGAGAGTGTTAAAGTCCTGCGAAAGCGGGGATCAGAGGGGGGTGTTGCAGCTTTTGTCGATTTTGTGGATATCAAAAGTGCTCAAAAGGCCCACAATGCTGTCAATAAGATGGGAGATCGGGACCTACGGACAGACTACAATGAACCTGGCTCGGTCCCAAGTGCTGTACGGGGGCTTGAGGATGGGTCCCCTTCGAGCAGTCGAGACGTTACAGGATTCTCTAGGGGGACAGTGGGCCCTGTGTTTGGGCCACCAGTGTCCCTTCACACCAGAGAGGGGCGTTATGAACGGAGAATAGATGGGTAAGTGGACCTGGTCTCCCCTTTAAACACAGGGGAATTTAAGTATCAGATATGTGTAAATCTCATTGCTGGGTTGTTTCAAAAGTAATATAGGATATATTCCACTTTTCATCATTACTGACTCACCTTGCCCATGGGATCTAAGTAATTAACTACACATTATCATTTCATGAGGTATCTGTAATCCAAAGTGTGCATCTGGATATTTGATCTCTGAGGAATATACTGGTGAGTTTCGGACCTTACATTGTGGGAATATATACCATGGGGAGTTGGATTCTATGCATTTTTTTTTCCATAATGTGGAATCTACCTCAACTACCAATCGGTATCTCGGAATTACACAAATCCGGAAGTAAAATGCGACTTTTTGATACTACATTTTTCACAGAAACGTTTTGACACTATTTTTTGTTTTTTGACAAGTATGGAAATATGTTTTTGTAATTTTTGAAACAGTGGATATGACCCAGTGTGGATTTAAACTAAAGCGGGGGAGAGAGTGACCAGCTGCAACAGCTGCTCAGCCTTTCCTGCTCTGCGTGCCTCTGACTGGAGTTACTGTAGACAGTTCCCACAGAGCTTCTACACCAGGAACACAGAGAAAAGTGACCCAAGAAAATTTGTGGAACTATTGTTTTGGACTGACGACCATGAAGATGGCTGAAGACCCATGTTTGGATGTACCCTCCTGGATGTATTCAGTTCATTGCCACTGCCACATGTTGGATGTACTGACAGACTCTAGTTTGCATAGCTGTAGCTGTCCCTCATGTGGATTACTAAACTGGACATAAGTGTAAGGAGTATGTAGCTGCATCCAGAAGACCACACTCAAGAAATATAATATTGAAACACTTGAAGAAAGTCTGCAAGAAATTATATGCTGCTATTAATTAAAGGATTAATGGATTTTCTAATGCCACAGACTGGGATTTACTATTCGTAGTTTTTTTCTATACTACATCTAATACTTTTAAGAGACTACAGCATCCACTGGAATACTTTTCTACATTTTTATTTTTGCAAGCTAAAGCTGAACTGATCAAGTTGGATGTATTTTCTATCCTGGGTCCACTATATTAAGTCCTTGGCTGAAATAGTATATTTTTTAAAAACTTGTGTATGCCTAGTAACTCTTATGTTCTATGTTTTTCTGCAAATCTTCTGAAATCCATCAGTTCTATGGTTTTTAATTTTTGTCCTTTTTCCATCAAGAATTAAATAGCCTAATTGGATTATACCTCTACTGTCTGCTGGCCTGATTTGGAGATAACGAGCCATATGACTCAAGAAATTTTGTCTAATTAGATCAATTGAATTTTTTTCCCCTTTGGTTTTTCTTAAGGGCTCTCACATTTTGACCACCTAGATTTTATTTGGAATAGTTTCAGTAACTTCTTTCTAAAAGGTTGGTATTTCTCTGCCCTCTGCATTTTTATTCTCTACCCTTCTTTAGAGTTGTTTACTGATGTTTTTGTAGATTACATAGACCAGTGGAGTAATTTAAGATAGATAAAAAATATATAATGCATAGCATTTACATAGTGCAAAATTTTACGTTTTGACCCTTTTAGCTTTTTTATAGACATACATACAACACACAAGTAGTTCACGTAATAGTTTTGGCTCATTTCACCTAATGAAAAATACAGCATTTTCATTAATACTATTTCCTCACTACATACTGTATACACAACTTTGTACATTTGAGCTCTAGCCCATAGACAAGACATAGATTGATTTATGCAAGTTGCAACATATTTTATTTGACAGGCTATTTTATATTTTAAAAAGATGTGGCATAGGTACATAAATGTTTTTGGTTAAAGTACTAACCATTAGCTTATTTTTCAAATCCAAACCCGGTTTTGATTGTGAAGTTTAAAAATCTGAGTAAACTTCAATTTGATTACTAACAGAAAATCTCTGGTATATTTGTGGAATAAATTTGAAATGAAAATTTCTCAATTAACCACAACCTTCTCTGCCCTTTTGTCCCCTACAGCAGCTCAGAAAGCAGAGATCGCGCTTATGACCACAGCCCATATGGACACCATGAGCGCAGCAGCACTTTTGATCGGCAGCGACACTACAATGCGGACTATTACCGTGATCGCTCTATGTTTGCCGCTGCTGGCTCTGGGAGCAGTGCTATAAGTGGGACTTTTGAAGCATCTGACCCGCATTTTGAGGCTAGACTTAGAGACCCCTTTACTTTGACTTCTGCTTCACGCCGTGATCTCTACAGAGATGACCGGGGGCGGCGAATTGACAGGACATACCATCATCGACGAAGCAGATCCTCTCATTCCTCACAGTCAAGACAACCCTCTCCCCAACGGACCACAGGACAAACCCCCAAATCTTCTCATTCCCCTAAAAGAGCTCCCCTGTCCCCTGGTAGAGGCCCAAGGTCTCGGTCACATAGCAGATCTTCAAGTTCAGATTCTGTGAGCAGTAGTAGCAGCACAGGGAGTGGCAGGTTAGACATTCATCTTTGTCTTTTAATGATAACAGAAATTAAAGTATTACACAAATTGATGTTCTATTTTCAATTTATGTGCCCAATTTTAGCGAATCAAATAGCAGCTCAAGTGATGGGTCACGGGCTCGATCGGTTCAATCATCAGCGACACATGCTCCTCCTGCATCTGTGATTCTTGACACAGACGAGCCACGCAGGAGCTTTGGAATAAAAGTTCAGAATCTGCCTGTCCGGTCAACAGGCAAGTATACACATTACAAAAACAATTAATATATTTTAGCATTCAGATATTTAAAAAAAAATCATTTTGGAGCACTGTCATTAACAGATTTTCTTCTATGCAGACACAAGTTTAAAAGATGGTCTTTTCCATGAATTTAAGAAGCATGGGAAAGTGACCTCTGTACAGATCCATGGCGCATCTGAGGATCGCTATGGCTTGGTTTTCTTCCGACAGCAAGAAGATCAAGAGAAGGCTCTCAGCGTCTCTAAGGGGAAACTCTTCTTTGGCATGCTTATTGAGGTCACTGCTTATAATGGACCTGGTATGTGATGACCAATATTTTAAAAAATGTAAAACATATTTTTTCTTTTATCGGTAAAAATTATGTTTATTGCCTTTTCCACCAGAAACTGAGAGTGAGAATGAATTTAGACCTCTAGATGGACGAATTGACGAGTTCCATCCAAAAGCCACAAGGACCCTGTTTATAGGAAACCTTGAAAAGACCACAAGTTACCAACAGCTTCTTGATGTTTTTCAACGCTTTGGAGAAATAGTGGTATGTTTCTGAGTGTGAATTGCATATATTGTTTAATTATGATTTCTATTTTCCTATTTAGCTTATCTATTCTATTTTTCAGGATATTGATATAAAGAAAGTAAATGGTGTCCCACAGTATGCCTTTGTACAATATTCTGATATTGCAAGTGTTTGCAAGGCCATTAAGAAAATGGATGGGGAATATCTTGGAAGTAATAGATTAAAGGTAGTGCATAATATCACTCTATACTGTAAACAACTGCAGTTTCAAACAATGGACATGCGCTATATATTTCATCTTTTTTCAGCTTGGTTTTGGCAAAAGTATGCCTACTACGTGTGTTTGGCTTGATGGTTTGGCATCTAACATAACAGAGCAATACCTCACAAGGCACTTTTGTCGTTATGGACATGTGGTCAAGGTATTGTACACATGCAGTTAACATGTAACTTGAATACTTAAGTTTGCATTTGTTAAACTGTCTTCTTTTTTCAGGTTGTGCTTGACAGATTAAAGGGTATGGCACTTATCTTGTATAACAACACAGACTTTGCTCAGGCAGCTGTTCGCGAGACCAAGGGCTGGAAACTTGGTGGTAATAAAATAAAGGTACATTATACAAGCTGTGTTTGCAGTGTACTAGCAGTGTATTTTTTATGATAGTAATCTAATCACATGTAACATCTTTGTGTATTTACAGGTGGATTTTGCAAGCCAAGAAAGTCAACTTGCATTCTATCGCTCAATGCAGGCATCGGGTCAAGACATTAGGGAGTTCTATGATCTACCACTAGAAAGGAGGTAAATAATATTTGCATAGTGTTGAAACATGAATGTCTGGGGAAATTATAGCAACTAAATGTATGTTGCTTTTTATTCAGGGAGGAGCGCAGACCTCCGTACCATGAATTTACTGAGAGGGCCTATTATGAAAACCTACGTACCCCAGGTCTTTATCCAGAAGAAGCCAGAAGAGAATATGCTGCCCGGAGAGAGCGCTTTCCTGAACTTGAACATTACCAGGGTGACCACTTTGACCCACGGTACCACGAAGATCCTAGAGATTATAGGGACTACAGAGACCCATTTGAACAAGACATTCGTAAATATACATACATTCAGAGAGAGCGGGAACGGGAGCGTGAGCGCTTTGAGGCCGACCGGAGCAGGTGGAGTCCCTCTCACCCACGACGGCCCATAACTCCGGCAGTATCGCCTTCACCATCAGAGCGTGAGCGTGCTCCCAGAGACTCGGAGCGGCGCGTGTTCAGCCAGTCCTCTGAGAGAAGTGGCAGTGTAAGCTCAATGTCACCACCTCACTTTGACAAATCTGATAAATCCCTTGAGCATGGTTCCAAAAATGACAAGACTGAGAAGACGGCCCCAACTGATCGCCTGTTGAGTAGTGAGAAAACAAAGCGAATGAAAAGAAAAGATAAAATTGACAAAGGGGAAAAGGTTAAATCAAGAAAAACAAAGGCACAGTCACCATCTTCTCAAATACTTGAGGCAGAACCTGAAGCAGGTTTGGAAGGAGGAGCTGGCCGTAGTAAAGGCTCGGATCAAGACAGCTATGAAAGGCAGAAGTATAAAGGGGATCTGGACAATCATGAAGTTGGTAAAAATGAAACTTCGGAACTGAGTAAAGGTGAAAATTTGGAAATGGATGGAAAAACAAGACTCAAAAAACAAATTAAGACCGAATTGGGAAGTGATGGAAAAGACTCTGTTGACTCTGAGCGCTTAGCTGCAAGAAAGAGACGCTTTGCTGAATCCAGTGGGAAAGTCATACGTCAGAAGAAGAGCAAGATTGATGAGGAAGAACCAGCTGAGTGTAGTGCTGGTGGAGTGCATCAAAAAGAGATGGACACTCACAAAGATTCACAACGAAGAGATTCAAGACCCAAAACTGATAAAGCTCAAAAAGAAGGCCAAGAAGATCAGAAGGGGCATAAAGAGAAGGGAGACATGTCTTCTGAGTTGCAAGACTCAAAAAGACACAGTTTATCCAGGAGGTTTTCTCATGAGGGAGGTCCAGACCAGGCAAATTCAAGAGAGGAACAACATGTACCCCTGAAGTTTGGTGCCTCATCTGATATTGACAAAAGTGCTAAAAACAAGGATGACCATGTTGATATTGATCTTTCTCAGAGTTACCGTAAGCAAATGGAACAAAACAGAAGGCTACAGCAGCAGCAACGAGAGAGTGACAAACTGGAAAAACCAGAAAGCCCACTTGAAATTAAGAATGAAGACATGGAAGACCGCAGTCTTGTGTATGAAGTTGGTAAACCACCAGAGGACGTCACAGTCACAGATAACTTCCCATCTCACCGATTTAAAAAGTTAGATCAGTTTGATGCTGAAACAGGGGTTAAGCGAGAGCGTGTCTACAGGAGCTTTAGGCATAAAAGTGAAGACTCTGAGTGGAATAGTGGTTTGTCTCCTGGACATTCTCATCATATGGATAATGACTTTGTTAGCCCTTCAAGGAAAGAGTTGAGCAGGATTGATGACAAATTGCCAGAAATAGAACGCCTTAAAAAGACCCTTGACTCACAAGTAAAACCACATACTCCAATGCTTGGTGGAGAAGAGGAGCAGCAAAAAAGATGGGAAAATAGAGTTAAACAAGTGGACAACTTTCTGCAAGATCAAAATTTTTCAAGAGGCAAAGGCTTTCACAATCGCAAACGTTTGGAATATGGTGTTTGGCCAGACCTGGAGCCAGGGGAAGTCAGATCTGATTCTGAAGAAGACAGAGAACCAAAGTCACACTCTCCTGTCCCTTCAACATCCATGAATTTTTCAGAAAGGCTGCGCGGGGAAAGGTTTTCAGACCCTAAACTGGCTCAACTTGAAAAGAACAAATTCTACTCTTTTGCACATGACCGAACCATCACTCCTGATACTAAAGCTCTGCTGGAGCGTGCCAAATCTTTATCCAGAGAGGATAACTGGTCATTCTTGGATTATGATCCCCACTTGGCGAGTTTTCGTGATAGAAAAGACACGGTCAAAGTGGAATCTGCACCCAAACCCATTAAGCCTGTTTCTTGGTACAGGAGGTACAAGACTAGAAGTGGTTCTGAAGATAAACTTGATGACAGAAAAGAGGAGCCAAAACCAGAGGAACCAGAACGCAAGGAACTGTTTGCCTCTCGCTTTTTTCACAGTGCAGTTTTTGAGTTGGACTCAAGACGACTTCAGCACCTGGAACGTAAACATGAAGAACCTGAGAATAATCAAAGTCAACTGGGAGTACAAGATGGAGTTGATGGTGAAATTGAGAGTGGCCCTGTCATACTTTTCCACAGCCGTTTTTTGGAACTGACAAAACAACAGCAGAAGAATAAACCTCAAGAGGCAAAAGTAGAACCTTCTGTTGAAGAAAATAAGGTACAAAATGCAATGCGTCAGGACCCACAAGCACCAGTGTCACAATCACCACAAACAGAATCTCCCAGAGAGACTGAAGTGAAGCCCATCAGTCCTGTTGAAGAGATCGCTTCTGAACCACAGCTTCTACCAGCCCCACCTGCCCCACCCACCCCCCAGCCTGAAGTCAAGACCATGTCTCCAGCAGAGGTCAAACCTGAGCCAGTGATACCTACCCCAGAGCCAAGTTCCCCTGTGTTTTTGGTAAAGGAAGAGACTAAGGAGGAAGTTAAAGTAAATTACCATGTTGACTTGTTACCCCAATCAGTAAGTGAAGTACTGCCAAAATCTGAACCAATTCCTGAAATTGATTTTCCTCATGAAAAATCTCATCCTTCTCCAATAGAGGTGAAGTTGGAAATAAATGAAACCGTAAAATCTCAGGACAGTGGAGCAAAATCTCGCCATTCTTCTCAAGATGAGGCCATAGTAGCTACTGAGATCAAATCAGAAGTGGTTTCTGAAGTGCCAGAGTCCAAAATGTCTCATACAGCAAGTCTAAAATATGAAAGTGAAATGGACACAGAGTCTCTAAGCAAAACTGAAGCAGAGCCTGAAGAGGAGAAACCACAGATTAGTAAAGGGCAACTACCGATACAAAATAATACACAGGAGGAATTAGCGTCACCCCAGAAAGAAAATAAACAAAAAGAAATAAAAAAATGTGTCCAGCCCCCTGTTTCAGTCACTCATTGTCCAGTTGTGTCACCAATTAATTCGGATAAACAGGCGACCCGCAAAAGTGAAAGAATTGATCGAGAAAAGACCAAACGTGGCTCATCGCCAAGAGGCGAAGCAAAGTCCACAGCCAAATCACCTGTCCATGGTGCAGATCCTGATGGACCAGACCAGGGTTTGTCTGTGGGAAGAAGAAGCAGAAGGAATGTTAAATCTGTTTACGCCACACTAGTTGAACTTCAGCCACCAGTTCGTCCTGGGAAAGAAGTACCAGAATCACCCCGTGCAGGCCGAAAACGTGGTACAGACAAAGAAGTAGTGCCACAAAATTCAGAACAAGAGCCGCCCCCTGCTCCAGCACCTGCAGTTAAAAGAGGCCGACCACCCAAAAATCGCAAACAAAGTGATGAAAATGCATCTGTTAAGGCTGAAAAATCAAAAGCAGAAACAAAAGACACAGACTCTAACGAATCAGAAAGTGGTGAACGAACTCCAAGAACATCTAAAGGGCGTCACTCTCCTCATGGCAGTAAAAGTTCAAGTCACACGTCAACACTCTCTGGATACGGTTCAGGCAGGAAAGGGGATAATGCTGAATTGGCTGATGAACAAGAAATGGACATTACTGATGAAGATGCAGTGCAAGATTCATTAACACCAAGTAAAGACGAGCAAACCAAATATTACTACAAGAAAGAGGAAAAGGACAGAGAACATAAGGAAACAGGAAAAACTAAGGAATCATCAAATGAACAAAGTGGGGATGGCAAATCAAACAAAGAGGCTGAATCCACAGAGGAAAAACACAGCACAGACAAAGACCGGTCTGGCAAAGGAAAAAATAAATTACCGAAGGTTCCCAAGTCTCCTGTTCTCAAGGATCTAAAGATCAGACTGCATGTTACAGAAGTGAAAGACTTGTTGCAGTTAGGTGAAGATGAACTTGCGAGTCAAGAGGACTCTTCAAAAAAGGTTAGAGCCACAGATCCGACTGAAGTTTCAAAGGTTGCAAGTTCTGTTAAAGTTGTCCCTAAAAGTGAAGAGAAAGACATTATGAAAACTGATAAAGAACCCTTGGAAGCAGCAAAAATACAGGAATTGGAACAAGCTGTTGAGAACATTGCCAAACTTACAGAACCAACTTTCCCTGCAGCACCAACACCCACAGAAAATAAAAGTGATCCAGAGCCAGAAGAAGATAAACCTATCCCAAATGAGACTGAACTCATGGCAGCAATTGATTCAATAACAGGAGAAGACACACCAATGCCACAGCCTCCTCCGGCAAGTGCAGAAGTTGGCTCAGAACCTGAAATACAAGACAATGTTCAGTCTGGCAAGGAGGTGCTAGCTGAAACAGATGCATCTAACAAGCAAGAGCAGCTTTTCTATCCATCCACACCTAAAAAAGGAGCCAAGGGAAGAAAAACCCCTAAACGCCCTAAAGGCCAAAAGCACACAAAGAAAGATGTAAAGGAAGAAAGTACAAGTGAGGAGTTATCTTCAACTGCTGAAAGCCCGGCTCCCACCGTTAAGGTAATTCCTGAGAAGACTCCGCCTGCTGTGGCAGCTGTCATTACTCCTACATCATGGAATCCAATGCCAGAGCCCTCAGTGGTCAAATCCGATGTCAAAGCTGAAATCGAGAGGCCTGAAGACCATGGGGCATCCCCAAAGTCTGTTTATCCTCAGCCCAGTAGTCCAGTGTGCCCCAAACCTCAGCAGGTTCAACCAGAGTCTGTTGCAATGTCTCCAACATATGGAGGTCGGACTAATGTTAGACCACCTCAAGCTCACAGACCACCTTCTTCTTCACCAGATTGGCTTCCACCCAAAGATTCTAGTGGCCCCTCTGTACCTTCCATATCAATACCAACAAAAGATCAATCACTGCCCCATAAAGCTGAGAGGTTGGAAAGTGAACAACCTGACCTCAGAACGATTTTGATGCAGCATAAAAATATGCCTTTGTTTGGTGGTTTGACTCCTACAGCCCCTCTTGCCCTCAGAGACCAGAACATCTCTGACAGTCAGCAGCTGTCCACTTTGCCAAATAAGTCACCACTGCCCGAAAGCAGGTTGGCAGCTCATCCAGTACCGCCCATAGTTCGACCACCAGCCTCTTTACCCTCCCCCGAAACAAAGACTGTGATCTCAGTTATTGCATCTACAGCAACATCTGTCATTAGTCGTGTGTGCAACACCCCCGAGCATGAAGATAAAGTAACAAATGCTGCTAACCCATGCATAGACATGAGTTTACCCAAACCAACGTATAGGCCAAGCAAAGATGACCATGGACCTTACCACGGCCAGTCAGGAGATGATGTGGGCAGTGCACGCTTCATCATTGACAGTCCTGCGCCAACTTCAGGGTCCTGTCCTGGTCTGAGAGTGAACACATCTGAAGGTGTAGTTCTTTTGAGCCACTCAATGCAGAAATTGGAGGGACGCCAGCGGATCAGCGCAAAGATAAGTCAAATCCCACAAGCCACTGCGGGAGATATGGAATCTCAACAGCTTGTGTCAATGCCACAGATAAAGCAGGACATGTATGGCCACCCACAATCCGGGCTCCAGAAGGGGTCATCACAAACGGATCATGGGCATCCTGGGAAGTCCCAGCCCATGAAACATGATGTTGGGAGCCTGGACAAGATTGAGTCGGCCTATCAGCCCGGACCTCAAGGTGTCGTGAAGCGTCTCCCAGTTGGGAATCAGCCAGTTATGGGTTACCACCAAGATTTCTTGTCAATGAAACATCCAAAGAAAATGGACACTGCTGACCCTCACAGTTCAGATGCTCTGAAACCTTCTTGGACAGCTGCCATTAGTCCTGCCATAAGCCCTCACCTGCCGTCTCCCCCTGGAAACCATGTCAGCTTTGTTACTGGCTCAGACAGAGCTCCACCACACCTTCAAGGGGTAAAACAGGAACCACGGTCGCCACGGAAATCTGGTCATCCACAGTCTCCATTTGCTAAAGGCTCTTCTTCACCTAAAGGCATACCAGTCATGTTGCCAACCAACCTTCCCTCTATGCAGCCATTTATGGCGGGAGTCCATCACCCAGAGCAGTCTGTTATCATGCCCACTCACTCGGGTGCTTTGGGGCGCATGTCTCCTCATAGAGTCAACCAGTCGATTCCAGTTGGCCATCTTGTGCAGGGTGAAGTCCATGTCAACACTCCACCCCTCTCTGTCATGAATTTTGGGATGCATGGGGACCCTCTTGCCTCACCTTGGTCTGCAGCAATGCAGCCACGGCCAACCTCACCACAGACTGTTAACAGAGACAAGGTTTTAAAGGTGAACTCTGGTGCTTTGAGGAGTCATGAAGCAGATCAGGAAGAAGCCAGGCGCTTTCACCAGGTGGCACCTCGGCAGCCAGGCCCTCCACTAAAGCCTGACTCCATGCAGCCAGACCCTCGAATGCCCATGCGCAGTGCTAGGGAGCAGTACATGGGACAAAGAGACATGCGTATCCTTATGCACCAGCAGGGAGACCGGCCTGCAGCTGATGCCCACACTGCCCTCCTTCAAGAGCCCATTCCTCCATCTTCTACACCCACCAGTTTACCACTGTCCATTTCTCCAAGGCAACCACATCTTTTATCAAAAGGCATCTCTGAAAAAGAGCTCACTAAACAACTTGAAGCAAAGAGACCAAACTCTCCTCTTCTTAAAGATGGCATGATGGCTATCAGACAGTCGGGACCAGCCATAGGATCTCCACAGAGAGTGCCAATGATGCCCCCGGGGCCGAGCGGCAGCTTCCAGGAGTACCCAGGCCTGTACAGCCGAGGAATGCACCCGCCAATGCCAGAGCCAGTGCCCCCAGTGGGTTTGCCGCAGCCACACGCCCCCCCAACTATGATGGTGAGTGAAAATGTATATACATAAACAGAAAGACAGACGCCAGCTGCTTTTAAAAACATATTTTTTTAATTTAACATATTTCCTTCTTTTGTAGGGCACTGAACTCCAGCCAAAACCAGAGAGTAAGATTTCCCAGCCCATGGTGCAATTGCTCAATGTAAGACTTGTGGATACATTGGTCTCTTTTCATAAAATTATGTTCTGAATATGTTCTTTGTTTATCATAACAGAAATATCCAATTGTGTGGCAAGGCCTCCTGGCTCTGAAGAATGACACTGCTGCGGTCCAGCTGCATTTTGTGTGTGGTAACAATGTTTTGGCCCGTCGTTCTCTGCCTTTACAAGAAGGGGGTGCTCTGCTCAGGATTGCCCAAAGAATGAGACTTGAGGCGCCGCAATTAGAGAGTGTAGCAAGAAGGATGACAGTACGTGTCTGAAATGTGTGTTTTCATTTGTCTCTAAGGTTTTCTTACACAATTTAATATGCTCTTTTTTTTTTTTCCTCAAGGGGGATAGTGATTTCTGTCTTCTTCTGGCTCTACCGTGCGGGCGAGATCAAGAGGATGTCCTAAATCAGACCCAAGCCCTGAAGTCTGCTTTCATCAATTACTTGCAGTCAAAACTGGCTGCTGGGATTATTAATATTCCTAACCCAGGCTCCAATCAGGTGGGATGCCTTTTAAAAACACACAACTGACCTGACTGTAATTTAAATGCTGTATTAATTAATGTATATTTTTCCTTTTCTTTGTAGCCCGCCTATGTCCTACAGATTTTCCCTCCATGTGAGTTTTCAGAAAGCCACCTGTCGCAGCTAGCACCCGATCTTCTGAATCGGATCTCCACCATTTCACCACACCTCATGATTGTGATCACCTCTGCGTAACCCTCCTTTTCTGGGAACTGTCTCGGGATTGGGCATTCTCACCATGAGCCTCAGGACACCAGAGGAAAACCACATTATTTTTGTTTTGATACAATGGGATTTGTCATAGGACGTTTTCTACCAACGACCTGCCTTTTCTTCGTCAGTCCTTCTCGTGTCACTCCTGTCTGGTATTTTTGTCCTTCTCAATGAACTCAGGGATGGACCGAACCAGAATCAGTCTTATTTGACCATTACTCTGCTGTATGTCTATTTATTGAGTTTAATTTTAATGTTTGGAAATACTCTGAAGAAAAATTCAGGATGACAGAAGACTTCTGGGTGGCCTTTTCTTTGTTCCGTTTTATGATTGTCAAATTTTTTTTTCTTCATAATGGAGGATCAGATAAGCTGTTATTGTGTTGGAAAAGACATTTCAATACATGATTTTTAAATAATTATGTACATATGCATCACCTAGACTTTAATTTTTCCCCGGACCACATCAACAGCTCTTTTTCTTCTTCCACCAGCTCAACACATCATGTCTCACTACTGACACCTGCCTTTCATTCAACACGTTACCGTCACATTTGGGAGTTTTTGAATACAGGACATGTAAATATTTTAAATATTTAAACTTTGGCAGTGGACAGTTTAACCAACTTGAACTCTGGGGTAAACCAGAAAGTGTGAAATGTAGATGGATATTGATTTTTGGGTGTAAATATTGTAACACAAGAAGGTTGGCACACTCTTGAGGAGTCTGCTGATGGCACTTCATATTTTGTAACTGAAATAAAACAAAATTCAGAAACTTGTATATTGAAGACCCCTCATATTTATTTTTTATTGAAAATGTAATGTTATATTAAGGATTTTCTCAACTCATATGGACTCAGAAGTAATTTAAATGAACTGACTAAAATTTGAATCTCTCAAAATACCTGCATACTTTTTTAGTGCGGGGATGTTCAAACAGCCATGGTCATGGCCAAGAAAAATCTAGAAAATGTATGATTTTCTTTAACTCTGTCAGACTTTTACAATTAGTTTTTCCACAATATACTTTATTTACATCTATGAGGTGACTTCTTTACATGAGTGGCTTTTGTGACTGTCAGTATATCTTCTGAAATCTTTTTAGAAAAACATTGGCTCATCCAACATTTGCAGAAGAGATCAACTGGTAAGAGTTTTTCCAAGGGCGATGCCAAAACCGATTGTTTAGCATTCAGTGAAACCAATGACTGATTGGTTCTATCAACAGTTTTGGGTTGACATATTGGGACGATTTTGATCATTTGATAGTTTGGTTCGAACTCATCCATGACCCTGTTTTACTACAAACCAGATAAGCGATCAGTATAGACATATTTTCTCTTTTCTATTAACTGTTGAAGTTTTATTCATATACCCTTTTATGCGTATGGTGACAGCTGGTTGGCCAAACAAAAAATTGGCCTCTGCTGGAGATTTAAAGCCGATAGCCGATACACTAAAAAGTTACAATTATCGGCCAACCAGTATATCATAATATCTCTAATTTACAGCGGCTTTATATTTTGAAAATACCACTATTTATTAATGAAATATTGCAAATGATTTTACAATTTGGCATTGCTGAAGTAAATAAACATTCACATAAAAAGAAAAAAAAAACTATACACACAACTTACAAGACGTGGATAGTCCTTTCAAGGAATGTTCCAGATTTATGTTTAAAAATAGGTTTAAAAATACACATAATGTTAATGTGGAGTAAAAGAAGATAGAGGAGAGATTATTATAGTATGGGACTAAAACCAAGTCTATCCATGGGTCTCAAAATAATTAAAAACTAGGACTGTTGGCATAGTTATAGATTATATCTTTTTAATAGAAATAAATCATAAAATTGTTGAATATCTTATAACAGGATGCTGAAACCCTTGAAAAAGTGTGCAACAAACAAACTGTAAAGTAGACAATCTGAATTTCTAAGAACAACTTAACTGATGTTTTGAATAGGTGATTAAATATTTTGGCTGGTACTACAGAGAACAAATGCAATACAATTTCTAGTCCTTAATTTTTCAGATCTACAGCACACCCAAACAGAGCCATCCTCTGCTCCTCATACTGGGAAATGTTCCTCTTCATGATATCCATACAGGGGCCCAGCAGACGCTCAAATGCCTGGATGTCAATGACTGAAAAACAAACACTGATTCTTTCTATCATAACAAAATGTAAACAAGATATAAATAATTTAACTTTAACTTGCCTAAACATTTAGTCTCCCCCACAGCGTACACAGATGCAGCCCTGGGTTTGTTGGTGACTAGGGCTAGTTCTCCAAAATACTGCCCCCTAGTGCACCGTGCCACTTCAACTTCAGTGTTGTCATCTTGGTCTTTCTTTTTCTGTCAACATTTTTCCATTTGACATGAGCATTTTACCACTATAAAAGTGCTAGAAATATTGCACTTACAAGACTCTTTATCATAATCTTGACCTCTCCTGATTCAACAATGTAAAAACAGTCGGCTTGGTCCCCCTGTCAAAACAAAATAATATCTTGAATAATAAAGTATTAGCATCATTAGTTTTGTAATAGAAAAAAACAATACCTCTTTGATGATGCAGTCTCTATCTTTGAACACTCGGATCCCAAGAACATCCACAATTTTCATCCTTTCAGAAATCTGCCAAAGGAAAACAAGCAGATGACAAAGATTTGGTACAAGTTAAATTTAAATAATTTTAGTTGACATGTAATTTTTGCAGCCAAAACCTCCAGAGACGTCAGGAGAGGGACACATTCAATGAAAGCTTCGTACATCTTCCTCTTCTTTGCATTGTTCTTCACAATGAGCCTGTGGAAAGTGGCTCTGTCCTGGAAGAAAAACACATGCTATGTTTTACCACCAACAGTTACTCATGCACCTAAATAAACTATTGTGACTTGTAGTGAGAAGGTAAAATATATATTGACTTCCTCTCAGCAAAATAAATGTGATTTTAAACATGAAGTTTATACCAGATGATGTGTCCAATGATAATATATATTGTAATGGCTCAAATAGGCTGGGCTTGTTGACTATATCTTAACTTTAAACCATTTTGTTGATCTAATATAGGGCATGTTCACATAAAGCCTGTATATACAGAATACAGATATCAGTCCCCATAATGTGATAATTACAAACCAATGACATGTACGATAACATGAACAATAAAGTAAATACAGCTGTCCCGTCACACTTGCCAGCGCCCATAGCGCCCCCTCCTGTGTGGCCACGATAGTAGCAGCTCGTGGGGTGTTGTACATCAGAGCCAGCTCCCCAAAACTGCCCTTGTTGTCATACTTTCCCACACACAAATCATTATCCCCCTTTTTCACAAATATATCGTAGACACCCCTAAAACAAAGATAGGATTGAGTCACTGCCAAGTCATAGCATGGATTAAAACAGAAGTAATTTAATATTGTCTCACTTCTCAATCACATAGAAGTTGTCTCCATCATCACCCTGGTCTATGATGTGCTCGTCTGGTTTGACCTGCACCTCAAACATGGCGTCCAAAACCTCAGAAAACTGCTCCTGTAGGACAAGAGGAGAGAGGAGTAGAGTCAGTGAACAGTAATCAGTTGAGAAACCTTCTAAAATTAAATTGTTACAAATTGTTACAACGTCACGGTGATAGGGTGATCACTCCTCTTTTGGTTCACTTTAAATGGGCCCATATTACAATATTTTCTGATCAATTTTATAATGTTGTTACCTAATCAAAAACATTTGTGTTTTCACAGTGTTTTAGGAGAAAGAATTGAAAATCATGTCAGTCTTTATCAATAACTTTTAATTATCCACTATTTGGAATGGTCCTCCCCACCACAGGGCACACCCTCGAGACCATTTCCAGATCTTTGGCAGAATGTTGGTTTACTGTGGATACATCTGTGGTAAACCCATTATTCACTGCCCACACTCAGTGGTTGCCCTGGGATAAAATGACAAAAGTGTCTGGCTGCCAATATGTGCCCCTTTGATCAACCATCCATCACTACATGCCACATTTGTGCATAGGCTTGATGTGTCTTGCCCAAGGACACGACAATAGTAGGCTCTGGATTGAATCCTCAAACCAGCAACCACAGAGCCACTAGACTTTTAATTAATGTTATTGAACAACAATTATGGATTGAAAAATTAGCTGGAAATTAAGAGTTTTAATTAATGAGGTTTGACTTTTGATTGGTTAATGAAAAATGAACACTGTTGCCATAGCAATTAACAATTCAAGACAAAATAACAAAATAATAATTTAACAAATCACTTGAATAGTAAAAAATGCTCAAACTTGCATTTATAAGAAGGAAGCTGAAACTCATGGATGTATTGCAAAACCTATTGAGCTTAATTAAAAATATATAATATAAAAAGCGGAAGACTTTAAAATCTGTGTTACGTTATAAATGTGTGTTAGACTGGTAAATCCTCAGTCATATTCTCTTTCTCTTTAACCCTGACCTGCTCCAGGGTCTTGAACAGGAGGATGTCGCGGCAGGCGTCTTGCAATCTTCTTCTCTGTATGTCTGTTTTGGGATGAACCACACGGGGCTCTGAATCATCTTCCTCGTCATCATCAGGGTTGTATGCCTCTGCACAAACTACAATGGGACAAAAGTCAATTCAAAATCGCCTGTGGTTCAATCCTCCCAATGTTGAGGTCAAAAATGAGGTTGGAAAAAACTGTTATAAATAGCTTCTTGCCAGCAAATTATCAAAATAACCTTAATTATTAGAGGTGTGCAAGTACGTAATTTTTCTGATGGGGGGTTGGCTCTGTGCTTTTCTTTATGGAGGTGTTACTGCAGTGCCTGTATTGTTCCACAGCATGGCAATAAACCTCTCTAGTATTAACTTAATTACATGTTTTATTGCTCAAAATATATCTTGAAAAACTTGCTTTGAGTGGGGTCTCTTCTGACCAGTAACTTGGCATGATGGCATCACCTGCTTGTGTCTATGAAGCTAGATCAGTTTAATCAGTGGAACATTCAGACAAAGCAATATAATCATGGAGACAAGCAGATGCTGGCCCTCCACCAGAAAATGTACAGAAAACTCACCCCCATTACATCAATTAATTAAACCATGATTGCTGTATGAGGCCTCTTCAAATAAATTTGAATTGCAAAATGGTTACTAACCTGAAACTCTGCGACTGTATTTTCCAGTTGTGCACTCTGCAGAGAAATTACATTGTCGTTGTCAGAACATTATATATATATATATATATATATATATATATATATATATATATATATATAATGTATATATTTAAAAAAACACATAAAACTCCAAAGTTAACTTACTATCTGTGCTTTCCTCCTCCTCTTTCTCTTTGGTTTGTTCTGATTTGTTTTCAAAAGTCACTCCTTTCTTTGCTGATCTGAAGCTCAGTTTCTTGGGTTGCTGATTAAATTGTTCGTTGTTTTTACTTTGAGTCTCCAAAATGTTGCTGAAATGTTGAACAGCAAATTCCACCAAATTATCTGGTTTATGTCGCAGGACTTCCACAGTAAAGGCTTGCAGTAGCTCCTTTAGACCCAGTGGTATCTCTGCTGCATTAGTCATAATTTCACAATCCTGCAAATCTTAAAAATAAACAAATATGAACTGAAAAATAAAACTAACATCTAACATCACATCTGCTGAAGCATTACTGGAGCTGTGACGCTTGTCCCACTGTCACATCGAACACTTTATTGATCATTTATTTGGCGCAGGCCGGTTGGAAAATATTGACTCTCCCCTCTCCAAAGATACAATTAAAGGTTGTCACAAGGACTGTATATCTAAATATTGGGATTTCTTTCTCTGAGTATTGTTTAGTAAATGCTGAACACTAAAACCAAAAAATACTTGAAAAGAGTTGCAGACCATATGCCTGATTGTTGATTTAGTTTAACGCTTAGCTCTTTAGATGTTACATTTCTGTCAAATATTGCTCTGTAAATTGTTATGACTTTTGGGTCATAACAATTTGTCATTTACAAGGATAGCCAAATACAATTAAGTAAAAACTACAACATGGTTCCTAGTTCATTTTATTCCTGCATATTTGTACACTGTAAATTAAACCCAAAATTTTACATAAGACATATGTAAGATGGTGAGTGACAGAGTTGTATTGCTCAGACACATTGCACCTTTTTTCTGGTAAGGCGCTAAAAAGGTAAGGCACACTGCGCCTGACCAGTTTGTATAAAAAAAACATCTCATGATCAAGACAAATAAAGCAAAGAGTGAAACATTCTTGTGTCCATTAATGAGAAGAGGTCTGTACCAAAGCAGGCAAAAAATGACTATTTTACATAGTTTTCAATAAAATAATTAAAATCTCTAAGTTTTTGTTGTGGTGTTGATGAGACTAGATTCCCAGATTTTCACAACAGGGGGCTCAAATCCTTCATCACAGATTTGGTGCCAACCAATTCAGGAACTTCATCGCAAGTTCAAAGCCTAAGAAGCATGCCTGAAAAATAAAAAATAAAAAACACCGTACATTAGATACGGATACAGATTATAATGCATGACTGACTAGAAATCTGTCCATGAATCAGTCTAAACCAGGGTAGTTCAGGAACTATCAGTAGCTCTACACCCCTTCCCAAGTAGCTCACTGTTAAGAGTTTTTCCAAGTGCTGTATATATGCTTCTTTGTCTTATTATTATTATTATCAAAGGGTATTTCTCACGGGAAAACCAGCTCCTCATTATCTGTTATCTTCCGCACGTACACATTCCTCCCTATACCTAAGGAGCTGGCACACACACTCACACTCACACACAATCTTCTCTGCAGTACTTTCCACTGTGACAGAAAAATGTAACCGCCCATTTATTCTTGTAACCTGTGTGATTTAATAAATACGTAGCGTGGGGTAAGTGACCCTTCGACAGTTTAAGGGAGCTGTCACTGTCCCTCGCTGTGAGTAAAACCTGAATTCTGCCTTCTGATTTTTTGTGTGTTATTTTCTGACACTCAACAAGGGATTTCTGAATTCTTATTGTGGATAATAAGTAAAATTTGAATTGTAAATGTATAATTTTGATGTCTAACTTGGTGCACTGACAAATGGATAATGGTTTATGCTTTATAAGCATCTAACTGGCCTGTAATGGCTCTTAAATTTATTGAGTTTCTTAGCAACTGCTGAAATTGGCAGCTCGCTGGCATTTTTGTTTTGTAAAGGTAGTGCACTGGAAAAAAAAGGTTGGAGACCCCTGATCTAAACAGTGTATAAAAGTTGGCCTGCTGCAATAATTACTATATTGTTCAATAAACGAGATATGAAACTATATCATTTGTGCTAAATATTTATCCTGTTACTTTTTAAAAATAAGGCTTATTGTGTCAGTGGCATAAAGTGACCCACATTCTTCAGTATTACTGTTTATTATTGCACCAGGACTACTAGTATATCAAAGTTATCATTTATTCTAATAATATTTTATGACGACACAGGTAGTGGTATTGTGATAGTGCAGTGAAATGTAAACATTCTTCTATACAAAATACATATAATGTACTCACAGCGTTTGCAGGGAAAGCTCTAAGCATGACTGCACTGAAGCCTTTGTACAGCGAACCTATGCCCTCCTCTCTGATCAACTCACGCAGAACGTCCCGGAAACCATTTGGGTACTTTCCTTCAGGTGCTGAATGATTGACAGAACAGAACACAGACTGGTTTTATTTTTGAAGATCAAATCCATGACAAAGTACAGTGAAAAAGTGCCATTTATAGATTCTATAGATACATTTAATATTAGTATTATCCTCTATATATTTGGGAATTGCAGAGTTCCAGATGACTTTCTATCAGAATGCAGTGTTAAACTGAGGGGTCAGGTCACTTAATATTGTTAAAGCACATGTTTCTTGTGTGGTTGGAATGGAAAAAAGGTCACATGATAACAGAATAGATTCTCTCCCTTTTGATATCTCTCATTAAAATAAGACCATAGCCACTACTTGCCCTAACCTTAACCTATTTATCACCTATTAGTAGTGTTGTAGTCAAAACCGCACTAATCGAGACCAAGACTATTCCGAGACCAGGACAAGACTGAGTCCTCTGAGAGTCAAGATCGAGACAAGACCAAGACCATGGCCCATCGAGACCAAATCAAGACCATCTTTTCATTTTCTACATTTATCTGTATTTTACAGGTATTCTGGCTCAAATATAATCAGTGTTTTTATAGACCTATCTCCAGTTGATCTAATTAATGTTCATTTAGGCATAAAATAAGCCAAGCAAACTGTACTGCACTTAAAACAATCTGCTCCCCTTATTACGTCACCGTAATAAGTTAATTGCCGGCCGTAATGAAATATGATCGCACTTGTCAAGTGTCAGGTCTCAAGTCCAAGACAAGAGCGAGTCCAAACGTGGTCGAGTCCGAGATGAGACAAAGAACAGATCTTGAGACCAAGAGCGGTCTCGAGTACTACGGCACTACATAGCAGGACTTTAATCACTGGTGTCGATCTAATAATACATTATTTACATTTTGGGGGTCTGATTTTTGTCCTCATAAAAGGAGGCAGGTCCCAGTTTGTTTACAGATTTTAGTCCCCAAAATGTAATAAAAACAGGCCACCGCATCATAATTAGGACTAAACTCTAACTAACTCTAACTAACCATGGACTAGACAAGGACTACACCAGGACTAGAGCAGGAGCAAACCTGTCTACCATCAAGTCTGTTTTGTGCTCAAACCAGGAGTGAACCAGGACAAGTATAAATATGTCCCAAAAATCTGGAGATTCAAACCTGTCTGGAAGCGTGACTTGAGGACATCTGGAGGAATGGCCACTGCCCAGTTAAAGATTCCAGCCATCCCTCCAGCGAACAGGATACTAGGAACGCTCAAATCACTGGGGCTGTAAGAGAATAGCTGTGTGATTAAACCTTAATACAGATATAGGTGTATAAAAATAGTATGGTAAATATGGAGGGAAACATTCACCTTCTTCCTGGTGGTGTGAGGACGTTCTTTAGCCACTCATAGGACATAAAGTACATACCGCTGGCTGGTACATCTGAACGCAAACAGTAAATGCAAAAAAAAAAAAAAAGATTAATAACCAATTACCTAGAAGGCAAATATAACGAAGAGGTGGAGGATTACAAGATTACAAACGCCACAGTAGGTGAGACAGAAAAACATTCGGAGATGCTTTATCATTCTACATAATTTGCTTATTTTGTCTGGCATCTTACAGGGTAGAATTGTTTTTAATTACTAATTTTTTATTTTTTTTACTCTGAAGAGGCAACCCCACCCACAGTAAGAACACTGTTTTTCAGATATGACCTGTCGCTTTGGTCATATAGTGTCACCTACTTTTCTCCATGGAGATAATACCATACTGTGGAACATTCCATGCAAAACAATAACATCTCCGCAAAGACAAGCAGGTGGCTGAATCCTCCACCAGAAAAGTTACACAGAGCACCTTTATAACAAACAAATTTCACCTCTCATGAGGGTCAGTGCTGTGCCTTTGTAGATGCCTCTGATGCCCGACTCTTTGTACAACTGTTTGACACAGTCCATTGGTCCATTGTATTTCACATGCCCAGTGGATGCTTGGATCTATAAAACATACACAACATTATTGCTACTCACCAAATAGGGTTTCCTTTACCTAGAAAATACCACAGACTTGTAGAAGGCATTTGATGCGCTCGCCTGGTGCCATAATAGCGGTGGTGAAAACACCAGACAACATACCAGCAGCAAATAACTGGGGATACCTGCACAATAACATAAGACAATTTATGACTTAGTCTTGAACAGAATATGACAACTAGTGGCAGAACAATCACCTACGTAAGGACATCCTCAGGGTGTTTCTGTTGCAGTTTCTTGCCCAAGCCAAAGCCAAAAAAGCAAACAGCAAACATTGGCGTTACTCCAATGATTGGGGCAGCCATGCCTTTGTAAAGACCTTTAACTCCCTGAAAAAGGCAGAAAAACATGTATGAGAAGACAGGGATAGCCAATATGACATTTTCGTCGCCATTTATTGACTTTCATCTGACCTCTTTGGCCAATGTCTTTTTGAAACAATCAATTGTACCAGCATAGAGAAGGCTCTCTCCAGGTTTGGGCTTTGGCTGAGTCTGTAAACGCACCTAGAAATAAAGGGTTACCGCAAGTTAATAGCATTATACAACTAACATCTCAGAGTCTCACAAGTATAAATACTCGAGCTTTATAATAACAAGTGTAGAAACTGATCTTAGCAGAAGACTGTATTTTTCCTGTTTTTTCAAAACATTAATGCGCTGAAGATGATTAGAATATACTCTATACCTCTATGCGGCTTGTGCTAATAGTAAACTAAAAGTATATATTGAAATTACAAGAACTTATTTGATTGAGTAACAGGCCATCACAGCACATCACAACCATAAAACACGGGGTGACAGTCAAAGGGCTCAAAGGTCTGAACTAAGCCTGACCTCAAGCACTGTAGCATCATGTTAAATATTTACAAACTTTTAGCTACAGTTTGATCTTCTCACACCGGTTAAACCTGAAAACCTTAAATGATACACACAGGTCCCTTTGCAACTTCTTATATCCGTGTGCACTACAAAAAACGGCAAAAACAAAATAAACATGCTATACTTTAATGGTGTCGAGGGGATGTCCAGCGAAGACGAGACAAACCCCTCCAAACCCCCCGGCGAAGAAGTTCTTCAGCGGACTGATTGGCTGCGGCTGCTTAGACATTTTGCTAAAACAAACCACAACAACGGGCACTCAATTCAAAACACGTCGTCAACAAAAACTTTAAACGGAGGAGAATTGCCCATACCTATTGTGTTTAAGGTCTGTCTGTTTTAGAAGATATTTGTGAGCTGCCTGCAGCCAGAAAAGCCTGACTGGACCTTTCACCCACTTCTAACCCGGAGTGGTTTCACTGTAACACAACAGCGTCACAGCAGTCCGCTTACTTCAGTGGCCGGGTGGAAACATGATACAATTCAATTTACACTTTATTTCTAATTTGTTACTACTTTATGGCTGATTTATACTTAAATTCAAAAGTATTATAAAACTAATATTTATCTATTTATATTATTTGTTTGGTGAAGATTGGTGGAGACGGTAGAGGAGACCTTCATGTGCATGACTCTCTGCAGTCAGCCTCAGGCACATATTTACAACTGGAATCCACACCCAGGGTGACAAAATTACTGAAAACGTACAATGCTTCCAGTTAAAATATAGCTTTATTAGTTTATTATTACACTGTTGCAGCACATATGCAGACAATGGTAGTTATTGAAAGTAGATAAGTTTCCCACATTCTAAACCATAACACAATGGACAAATAAAAAGTTAACAACTGAAAACATGAAATAATTAGCGGACTCTTTTAATATTACTTTTTTTGAACAGACAAAATAGGACAATAAGTTAAGATATAAATGGAAACTTGTGTTGAGAAGAACTAGGATATGATACATTTGGCTATGAGATTAATTCTTAAAACATGCCCCAAGTTAACCTCAATTGTTGAGGTTAACAAAGAAAGAAAAAAAACACATTACCATGTTCAACCTTTAATATGTGCAGTATTCCTCTTATTAAAATACTAAGGTGAAATCTTTTGTTAGAAGCATTATTGCAGTGCAGTTAGATTGCAGCATATACTTTACAGACAAAATACTCTTTTACTTTAATACTTCTGCAGCTGGAGATGGTTTTGGTATGGAATAAGAAGCTCAGAAGTGGTTAAGACAAATGCCTGGATGTTTCCACAAGTGAGATTCACAATACTACAGCTCTTTTATTTTGTTTATGAGGATAAGTGAGACTGTGTGTCCAACTACTGTCTACCTGTTAATACTGGAGAAATCAGAAAACATGGAAGTATTTCTGATCTATTCAAAGTTAAACATGGTCCATCAGCGCACTGTAGTTTGCTCCCACTGTAAAGGAAGGACATGAAGAATTGTGTTCACAATTGGCTAGTTTGGTTTAAAACAAAGTTGCTGGTTTTCAGATGATATCACAGCATCCTTTAATCCTGGTATGTTTAAGTGAAATGGGTGTGGGAAATTTCATATTGATACTATGCAGTTTTTTTGTTTGCTATGAAATCATGGACTCAATTAGCCTACTAATATAAATGATCTTACTTAGTTTCATAATGTGTGCATTTTGACAAAATATATATTTATAATGCAAATTATACAAATCATTGAATACGGAAATGCTGGCATTATCACTGAGTTTGGAAAAAAAATACAGTGTTACAAAAATATTGTTTATCTTCCTTTTCATTCTGAAGTAATAAAGAAATACTTGCCTTACCAGTTAAATACATTATTTGTATTATGTATTATTTGTATTCATTTGTATTATTACATTTTTCAGATTACTGTTTTAGTTATGTTTTCCTTAAAACCAAGATTACTTTCCCTATTTAAAACGTTAAAAAAAAGAAAAAAAAGAAAAGAAAAGAGGATTCATAATCAATTGGCAATACTCATGACATGGCACTAAATAGTTTTGAACTGAATTGTTTGTTACTGTACCTCCCTGCTGCAGTGGTGGAGGATACTACAGTGTGTGACATATGACATAGTTAGTCCTAGCTCTCACAGACCTGTGGAAACTCCTTATAGATCTGCTGGACTATTAGCTTATCCATTTGTTTGGCCGTAGCACTTTCCTCGTCCTCCCTGGCATCCTCTTCTTCTTGAAGGATCCTCTGTAGTGCCCCCTGCAGGTCAGAGAGCCGGTGCTGATGCGTGAGATAGTCCGTGGAGCGGATGATGGAGTGCATGAGAGAAAGGTACTCCATGCGGAGCTAAAAGATAAAGAAAACAGTGAAAATACGTAAAATCAAACCCGATTTCAATTCAGTTAGCCAGGCTTTACTATCATTTTAAGTTGACAGAATAAGTTGTGTGTAAATTTATGCAACAAAGGAACACATTTGTCAAAGTAAACTGTGGCAATGCATAATTTAATTGCAAAGTGCACAGAAACACAGCTTATGTCTTTGGACAAGAGGTTCACCTTGTCTCCGGGTGAAAGGTCAGAAATCTGTCGTACAGCAATGTCAATCATCACCATCATGTCGGTGTGGTAGAAGATATTAGCCGTCTCTTTACTCGCAAAAACATCCTGAAGAAACTTAAGCACTGAGTGAGGAGCAGGGGGTGTGTGAGTGAACATGCACACTGGGTCATCTGAAGAACAGCATAAATAAACATGTTAAGTGAAATAGTAATATAAATATTTACACAAGTTTTTTGACCCAAATACTTACCTCCTCGATTAAGAAGCAATAAGACTTTTTCAGTAAGGATCTTGACATTTTTCTTAGTTATTTCTTCCATAATGGCATTGTTGCTTGGCGCTGATAAGAAAAAGATGAGATGTCAATTGGCTTATATTAAATATAATCATTACCAGCAGGGGGAGTATTGATGGGTCAATCAAAATAAGAATTGTACATGCTAGTATATATATAACATAGATATTTTGGTAGAAGCACACAGTTCTTACAGGTGTGATGGAGATTGAAGGAAAGAAGAAGGTTGAGGAAGATATCGGGCAACTGCTCAGTTGGATCAGATGGGAGTCCATCTTCTACGACGTCCAAAAGAAATTGGACAAATTCCCCATTCAAGTGTTCTACAGGAGGAAAGATGTGTTTGTTATAATTGTGTATTTGGGTCATGGTGAGTGATTCATAAATGGATGGTGGCTGTAAGAAGAATATTTGATTATACCGTAGTGATGATATGGCACCTGCTCCCCCATTGAGAAGATCATAGTGAGAACCAAAGCTGTGTAACACATCTTTTGGTGTTCTGTAGGAAGAAAACAAATTATTAACATTGTAGTGAAATGTATATAGTAAAACATATTCAGTTACAGATAAAGAATTGAAATAAAATATCAAGAATGAAAAAAGAATGAAAGATGTTACAAATATCCTTCCCAAATCCATTCTCAATATTGAGAAAATAATTAATATACATATAAATTATAAACTGTTGCAACGCTAATTAAACCATGTTAAGTGAGTAAGAAAGTATTCACCTTACAGCTAGTGGTTACCTTGTGTGTCTGTCTGCAGGTCCCGGGCCAGCTCCATGGGCAGGATGGAGTTGAGCAGAGCGGAGATGAGAGCAGCATCCAAACTGCACATGGCTCCAAAAATCTTCAAAAGCAACAGCCGCAGAGATACGCGGTGCTCCTGAAGAGAACAACATCAAAACAATTAAATATGTTAGAACATTATATTGTAGTATATTAGTATATTATCATAATACACAGAAACATGACAAATATATCATGCATTATTAGAAAAAGCTATGTAAAAAAAATGTATTTACCATCTGATAATAAGAGACAAGTGAGATCACATTTTCACAGTGGTTGGCCTTGCACATCCGTTTACACACTTCAGGATCTGCATCCGTCTAAGAAAAAAAATACATTAAATATATCACCACTGTGTAAGTTAAAGAATATTGGGGTACATACAGTAAAATGGTATAAGGTATAATGTTTTTTTTTTTTTTTTTTTTGGATCAGTATGATTTGACATGATATTTGACATGAAAATCTGTTGAATCTCTGAACAATATCCCTCTTGTTCAGTATAAAGTGCAGTACTCTAATGACTGTGTATATATATATATATATATATATATATATATATATATATATATATATATATATATATATATATATATATATATGTGTGTGTGTGTGCGTGCGTGTGTACTCATTGTGTATTACAGGGATCTAACAGACATACATATCTCAGAGAAGAATATCATTAATCCCATTGAATACAAATACATTTAAACCATATTGGAATGAAGGAAGTGATTCTATTTCTTGTTAATACTGTGCCTTTTTCACACTCATAAGTCTTATTTGAAAAGGTAATAATGTTTTAATGCAAATTATTTCATAATATTGCCTGTACTAAAATAGCACAAAGAGTATGTAGTTGAAAAATTTCACATTTGCAATATTTTCCCATTGCAAATAAAAACGATGATCTTCATGGTGTTAAAGAGGTACCAGTATCTTCAGCAGCTCCTCCAAGTAGCACGCAATGAGAGCATGGTCCTCGTGCAGGGCCCAGCTTCGTTGTTGTGAGTCTTCGCAATGTCGAGCGAGGTCACTGAAAATCACCTCCAACCGCTGCTCGTCGTGACACACCTGCCCCTGTGGCAGAGCTGCGCTAAGATCCTGCACGGGCACAACACAACAGTAAAACAACCAGAAATACCAGCCAGGAAGAATAGATGCTAAAACTACTTAATTCTTCAATATGGAAAATTATTTTGAGTTTGAAGTTCATGTTTTACAGTTTATTGCAAAACCTAGCTTCAAAGGGAAAGGAGTTGTGTCTGGAATTAACCCGTTTATGTTCCAAGGGGGTTGATACAGGCCCTTGTACTTTTTCTTAATTAATTTCTGTTTGTCTAGCTTCTGATAAAAGAGAACTCTCAATCTCATGGACATGTAAAAGATTAAATCTGTAACCCACTTATTTTCAGTCAAATCAATCAATCTGAGAAGAATATGGACCAAGATTCCAAAACCATAAATGAAAATATTACCAAAAAAAATTAAAAATAAATACATTTTAAAAAATTAATAAAAGAACAGGAATTATATATGAACTCCACCTGGACTTTTTAGTCTATTTACAAGTCCCTAAATCTTGTTTAGTGAGATATGCTTTAGCACTAACATGGGAATTATAAAGACCCAACAAATGCTCAATCTACTGTCTCTCAGGCCACCCCCGTGGACACCAGCTATACCTATTCTTATATTTACCCCCAAAAATTTAGGCAGAATTTGAAATCTGACTTTCCCCTGTTTAGAGTTTGTTCCCAATTCAAATTAGAGTACAGTTAGAGGACAGCAGAGCTGAAAACTATAGAGCTTTGGTTTAAAGAGTCCAGCCATTTGTCTGTGCTCCAAAGGGTTCAGAAGCAGTTCAGTTTGAAATGAAAGTCAGCTCAGTCAGGTGTTTCAGGAAAAATAGGGTGAAACGTAAAGGGTTTAAAGTAACTGTAAGTAAACTTTTCTGGTAGAGGGTCCACCATCTACTTGTCTCCAGAGATGTTATTGCATTGTTTAGAAAGTTCCATAGCCATGGAGACAAGCAGGTAATGTATCAGGCCAAGTTACAGGTCAGATCTGTGAAGAGGTGACCACCTCACAGCAAATATACATGTTTTACTGTGGCTCTGTCTTGTAAAATAAGTTCTGAATAATTAAAGATGAATAAACTGAAGTAAATATTGCTTTCTGTGGATCATTCTAAGAATAGCAACAATAACCTAGATAAGCATGTAGCACATTCTCCAACAAATGTATAGATCACAATTTATAGCTCTTTGTTTTTAGTAATTTGATCAATTTGAATTAGTTGTTACTTATTTTTTGTGCTTATAAACCCAAATGACTGAAACATTTAATAATCTATGTTAAGGTAATTGAGCTGTATGTACAAAGTGCTGAGACTAGACAGTGTTACTATGACACATCCAAAATAAACCTGACCTTGCTTTCTACCAAAGACAGCAGCACTTGCTCCAAAGCAGAAGAAGCCTGAGGTAGTGCCGTTTGCAGGTGCCCCACCACAACACCCACTGCCACACGGGACAGTTCATAACTCAGGCCAGTGTTTTTCCGCACCAGCTCTATCAGCTCTGCCCCAATCGTCATGGAAACCGGTTTGGAACAGGAGGTAGTGGGGCTGCCAGGGGGGCTCTCAGCAACGGACGGAGGGGCAACGGGCCAATCATTGTCCTGCTGTGTCTCAGCTTTGGGCTGGGATGGGGCAGGCTGAGGGGGCTGTGGTGCAGGGCTTTTCTTTCCAGGGGCAGTTTGTATAGAAGACTCCGAAGGCAGGACATCCGGTGGTGGGGGAGCAGAGGGTTTGGCTCGGGATGGGACAGGTGGAGGTGGGGTACTGGAGATACTGGGCAGGCTGACTTCAGAGGAGACCAGAGAGTGGGCAGAGCCAGACTCCAAGGAGGTGGTGCTGATGGAGAGGGAGGGGGCAGGGGAGGGAGGGAGAGACGAAACCCGGGATGGGACCTCAGGCTCTGCAGAGAGGAGACAGCTCCAGTTACAGTAGGCAGGGTGATCAGAACTAAGAATAGCCTGTTTGTGAAGCAGCAGGTAGCATCAGCAAAAACACAGAGCTGCAGAGGCTTGGAGCTGCTTAAAGTGCCTGAGACTGACCTGGACGACGGTTGATCTTCTGTTTCTCTGGAGGAGGAGGGGTGATGGGGGCTGCACGTCGAGGCTGAGGAGGCACCTGAACAATTAACGATTTAAGGTTTTGTAAAAAAATACATAAAAAGGGACAGGCATTAATTTATGCCTTTGCTTAGGTCAGATTTTTTATAAAAAGCTGTAAGATTTTGATACCAAATATATTTCAGAGAGTAAGCAGTTGGAGTTATTTAAGATAGTGGCTGTCAAGAATTAATTATGAGAAATTTAAGAAGCATAGTAAAATCTTTATGTTTCTTTATGACACAACTTTTCACAAGAATCCATATCTGACATTATGATATCCTGACATCCTTCATAAGTAGGAATGATTGGGAACTGATTTTTACAATTTCAAAACTGTTGTCCTGTTGTTATGGCTGACAACAGATATTTATATCAGTATGAAGTTTTTTTTTTAATCTATAGCAATACCTGTATTAGCACTGATATATTGTTCATCCCTACAACCAAGTAGGGATGCAGCAATCCAGCTTTTTCAGTTCCAATGTTGATTTTTATACTATAGCTTGATGAATACCTGATGTCAAATGATACCAGTGCAGAGACTGAATACAGCATTTATTTCCTTTAAACAAAACAAATTTAAAGACAAAACCTTTTTTCAGTATTGACACTGATATACCAGATATCAGATGCCAATATCAGATAGGTGAATCCAAATTTTAAAAAAATAAAATAGTGTTAAATTATAAATGTCATAGATTGTTTGTTTACCTGATAAAATCCATGCTCTCCTTGCATATTGTCCATACTTCCTGATAGTGACATGCTTCCCTGGTGTCTGTACTCTCGGTTAAGGCCATTCGGTGGGTTGGGAGTTTGGCTCAGTGATATCTCACTGTTGGAAGTCGGGATGCCTGATTTGTTACTTGCTGAAGAGGAGCTCCGCCGTGCAAGTGTCTCTTTTCTGTGATGTATCAGCTTCCTGCAAAGATTGTCAACACTTTATTGGCCGTGTTGTGTGAACAGTAACATTGAGCCTATTTTAGTCTGCTCTTTTCTTCTAGGGAATTAGCTTGATGCTGTTGTGTAAAGACAAAAATTGTAGGAATCCTTTTCAAACATTATATTTTTTTCCCAGACGCACTGACTCTTTTTATTTCTGTTAATATACATCAATAATCTTTAGATGCGTTGATTACATAGTGATTCTTAGTTGGGTTGTTACGGTTACCCAAACAGGTTACTTACTGTAAAACATCACGTTGCTCGAGATTGTATTTGCCTCCATTCTTTAAGGCCACATTATGGATGCCTTCAATGGCTCGGTCAATAGACTGTAATACTTCATCCTGCTCTGGGGCCTGGAGGAAAGACAGAAAATACAACTACCAATGATGATTTATTTATTAAAGCTGTGGGCACAATTATTAAAATTTAAACCAAACAGAACAAGTTTGGCCTAAGGACCTATATAGCTTCAGGGCTCCAAACTAGGCCAGTTACCTAACAAACTCAGCCTTTCAACCCAAGTCACAAATGTAGCTGTTTGGGCCAGAGACAGTGTCACTAAGAGCAGAAGACAGCATTCCTGCTCATGGCTTCACATTGTACATGCTCTGACTAGTTCACAGTAAATCTGACTGTAGGAGGTAGATCACTGTACAAAGCACAGGTGGGTGTGACTGAGAGAACCAACACTAAAGGAACACAACTGTTTGTGCAGATACAACAACAACAACAACAACAGAAGGTCCACGTCCTTGGAGCAGTCTCCCTGTCAGATTCTATCATCATCCAGAATGCACCCCATCCTCCATTGCCCTGTCCCACACCTTAATGCCGCATAAATAGCTGCAGTACAGGCTGCTATGAAAGGTCAGCGTTTCACCTATTTTAGAGAATGCATTATAAGACAGCCTGGACAGTGGACACGCTGTAGTAATCTGTTGCTTATCAGAGAAGAGCTGCGCCTGCATCCCTTCATCTGTCAATTAATTCAACTCCACTGCACTCATGGTGGAGAACTAAGAATGGGGACTGGAACATAAGGATCCGGACATAAAACACTCTGTTTTTACCTGTATTTTCTCAATGTAAGAGGAAGGGATGTAGCCAGTTTCACCCGAGCTGCAGCGGGAACCCAACCACCAGTGTTTGTTGCTCCTTTCCAGGATTAGGAAGCTCTCTCCGGCGGAGAAGTGCAGGGAGTTGGGCTCGGTGGATCGGAAGGCGTACAGAGACCGGTACATGGCCGAGTTAGCGCAAATGCTCGTTTAAAAACGCCACTATGAGCTAAAGCTCCCAGAGAACAATGTTAGTGGAGATATAGTTTTGTATAAATGCCTCGCCCGAGATAATTTTAAAGGGCTAAGAAGGCATGTCCCTAGAGAATCTGGAGGATCTCTATTTACAATATAGCACAGATCATCTGACCCAAGACCACTGAGTCCGATAGGGGGCGCTATTTATTCTGGACACGCCCCCATAGCGTCACGATCAACGCTCATTTATAATAATTTATTTAATTTATATTATTTAGTAGTTAAACAATTGTCTGCAATTAAGCTGAAAATACAGTAAAAGATTAATTTAAGTGTGCGTTACTGCAAATAATTATTAATGTCAATAAATATCTAGAATCGAACGAATCGATTCGTTAAACAAGACCGGAAGTCACAGCCTGGTGTTACAGGAAAACCTTCCTCCGACTCGGCAGCTACATGGTTCCGGTGGTTATTAAGAAATAACATGGCTGCGTCGTTGTGCAGCAGATTTTTCCTACAAACACCAAAACAGCGGGCTATTTTTATATCTACAATACTTCCCACGTTCACGAGGTACATCACTTTACTCTGTATTATATCAATTGGCAGTATTTTAATTATATATTTTTATTCCCTCTATGACCTGTGTTTTAACAAACATTGCATCCAAGTTAAAAAAAATCTCTATATGTTTAAGCCATGTCTCCCTCTGGTGGAGGTGCGAAATGTCTTATATCAGCTATGTTTTTTGTGTTTTTCTTTTCTTAATTTAAGGAATAGACACTCAAATGTTACTAGTATTTATTTTTGATTGTAGTCTGGCTAGAGCACGGGTGTCAAACATATGGCCCGGGGGCCGGATCTGGTCCTCTAAAACCTTTAATCTGGCCCTCGGCTGATTTTCTACTAAAATATTTTAATTATATTTTCTATTAAAATATTGGTATATTTTCTGCGCCGCTTAGCATAGCAGCGTCTCCAGCGCCTCTGTGTGTGGCCCCTCTCACCAGAGCAGCACAAATAAAGACTTGCCTCTTTCCAAACACTTTTAAAGTACGATCGTTTTGACTGTTGACTGTGACACCCTCATCAGCAAAATGTCAAAAATGAGAAAAGTGGAGTGTAGGATTTTCCAAGAAAAATGGACTTATTCCTATTTGCTTTCAAGTTAATGTTAAAACATTGTGTTGAAATTATATTTTTCTTAAAGTTTCAGTTTGTTCATAATATTATAATATTTTGTAAAAGAAAGAATTCATCAATTAAAAAAAAAGATGTCTGTAATAGATTTGTGTTTTTCTGCGCAAATATTTGAACTTATTGTTATTTTTGGGGTATATATGCCATGAGTTTTCCAATCCGGATCCTTTGGGATCAAAGTAGGTTGGATACGGCCCCCGGACCAAAATGAGTTTGACACCCCTGGGCTAGAGTATTGTAGAGATTCTACATTAGAATGTAGTCTGGGCTATGTGCCTGTTACCGGCACCAGCCCTAGGGGAAAGCTGGGCGGTAGCAAGTGGCACACAGTTAAGGTTAAACTGTGTGGCCTAAAGGTGTGGTGTTGCTGTGAATGGACGGAGAGGAAACACGTTAGTCTGGTCACAGCTTGTTTAATTCTGAAAATCATTCAGTTATTCATTTCTTTCTCATTTCATTTCGATTGGCTCAATCTCTCCAAAATTATATAATTGACAAAACAATAAATTACATAAGTAAATAAACAAATACTAACAGACAATAAAATAATCCATAAAATGCAAATAAATACATATAGTTTGAAATAAGTCCTAAGCAGTTCAGTAGTGATAACGTAACTGACGTTAGAAATGGGTAGAAATTAGAAATAGTACCAAAAATACATTGCTAATGTTGGCTAAACTCTCTGAAACTTTTTGAAAACCTTTACACAATGAACAAAAATGTGTCTGAACCAAGTCTGAGTCAACAAAACAACTCTTCAAATCGTACCTGTGAATGGACAGAGAGGAGACACGTTAGTCTGGTCACAGCTTGTTTAATTCTGAAGCTGCGCCTACGCCGTGTTCCCCTAGTCCCCACAGTAGCGCTAACTCTGCTAACGCTACTGGTCGGAGTATGTACTGCACCCAAAACAAAAGGCACGCTAGGAATTATTCAACAAAATAGAGGGGGTGTCTGTTTCCATATAAAACTTAAATACAGCATTTTTTCAACCTACTACATGCCAATACTGTCATATTTGACCCATCTTCATTGCAGCCCAATCCTCTGTCGTGGTCATCGTCTGTGTCCTAGTGATGATGAGTTGTACCAAAGGACCACAGTGTCCATAATGAAGAAGGAGCAGGGCAGTGGGCCCATGATCCAAAGCTACAGCTCCAGAGGTTTCAACATTGATGGAAACCGAGTGTTTGGCCCCTGTGCTGTACTCCCTCCTGCCATCCTGCAGTGGAAAGTGAGAATACTTTCATATTCACCTTTTCTATATAACAGATCTGTACATGTGAATAATAAGTGAAATATCTGTTTGCAGGTGGGAAGCCATACAGATATAACAGAAGAAAGTGTGTCACTTTTTCATATGATTGAACCCAGAATAGGTGAGACCAAATGCACTAAAAGTTAACAACAAATAATCTTTTTAAATCCTTTCACTTTACCTATTTTAACCTGAAGTTACCTAGCTATTTGTCATTTTTAAAATTCATTCAGAGATTCTTGTCTTGGGAACTGGTGCAAAAGTTGAACGCATTGATCCAGCAGTATTGGCATTGCTTAAAAAAAAGGGTATCTCTGTGGAAGTGCAAGACACGGTAATAAAATAACACATATTTTCAATAGATTTTCAACATTTTTTGCAACTGTATATTAATAAGAGAATCTGTTCTTGTGTACTGTATTTTTTTCAGCCAAATGCATGTGCAACATTTAACTTCTTGACGAGTGAGCGAAGGGTGGCAGCTGCTGGTCTGATTCCTCCACCGCAGAGCACAGCCCTGGATGTGATAAAGGAGTAATACTGTTGAAAACAAAGACTGGGGGGACTTTTTTATATTTATTTTGGAGAGTAACATGCACTTAATAGTACAAAAATAGTAGTACGAAATATACAGGCATTGCATAGTATTTATCCTTATGTTTATATTAAGACTTACAATGTAATAAACACATTCATATTTAGTAACTTTTGAAAGTATGGTGATGCCTTTATATATGATTATAAAGAGGATACAAAGTATGCAGTCCAGATAACAAGGGACTGCAATGATAATGATTTGATTTATTATAATGTTGTTTTTTTGCCTTCTTTTGACAGAGTCATTGATTATTTCAGGTTAACACAAAAACAAATACCCTAACTTGCTTGGTCCATGCAGACATTAATCCAAGCGATTACATTCGGAGTTATGCTGCATATAAAAACAAAGATGCACCTAATCCTCTTTGTGGACAATTGAAAAATATAGAAGTATAAATAATTTCTTCATTGTTAAAATGAGGTCAAATGTGTGAGAGTAAAGGGTTCAAACAGCTACATAAAATGTATCATCCATCTGCCTTAGGTGAGGCCGGTTGCCCTTGATCAGAATAAGCCTCTTAAATGGGAATGCCTGCTTGCCCCACAGCCACTGCTCTGGTGTGTAGAGTGACAATACCAAGCCTGCCCCTCCCACTAAGCTCTACAGATAATAAAGAGAATCTACAAATCCTCTGTACAGCACAGTTTCATCTCTGCAATAATCATCATCAGCCCAATGTTCAAACCCACAGCTCTCATATTAACCTTATACACTTAAATGTTTAAATGCTCTAGTATAGATAGATGCTTTTGACCCATACACGTCTCTCTGTAGTGATGCATAGAGATATGTACTTAGAAAAGAAATAGATTTGATACTGACATTGTCATTCCTACATTCCATTTATTATTGTTGCCATAACCAGAACCAGGAGGAATAATGCTGTATTTATGGAGTCTGTCCTTAAAGATCCCACTTATTCAGGCTTGGCACTGGCAAGAAGAGAAGACATTGGTTGTATTAATAAGTAAATACAATTTTAACAATATTACAGGATTCCGGATACATTTTTGACAGTTTATTTAAATTGGAAAGGTACAAAATATTTAGCTGAATACCTACCAAAACATTGCAGCCATTGTAGATCATTTCTAAACCTGATTTATGAAAAACACACTTAAAACACTGAGATGAAGACAGTGATAGTGCTCTGTATTTGCAAAATGATCATCTATATTCATGTTTATAATCCTTGTTCATATAGCCATTATTTTAAGTTCATATCAGTCAAATATTTGTCAGTCTTCGCAATCTGAGTTGTGAGACTGGTGTCGACTTGAGGCTAAAAAGCTGAACTCTGAGCCGGTGATTCTGCGGTACAGGTCTTTGATGTCCTCACACTCGCTCTCAAAATGGTTTGTGGCATCATAGGATCGGGACACAAATATCTGAAGGGGAAATGAGAAATATTATCTTGTAATCCATTTAATCTAAGGTGCACTATATAAATCTTCCACCATCTGCTTGATTCCACAGAGATGTTATTGCTTAACCTGGAATGTTCCACAATATGGCATTAAACTTATATTCAGGTAGACATGCAGGTGACAGTAGTCTGATTTGTAAAGAGACAACACTGATTCTCACCCACAGTAAAATTTCATGTTATTCAAAGTATTTTTAGTAAGAAGAACACTCTTGAATAAACACAAGATAGATGTTGCACTGAAATGCCCCACTGTATTTTGTATTTACCAACACTGACTTTTTCCTTACCTGGCTTCTTCTTCCGTCTTCATTAGGAACAAGCAGATGACTAACTGAGACAAACCTACAAGAAAATTAAGTCAGCATTTATTTGATACATATAAAATTAATATGTAATTCTTACTTTTGCACAATGGGTTCCAACAGCTCTACTGCAGGCTGCACCTCTTTCTCTGGGTTATTGGTCTCCACGTTTGTGCTTATTGTGGCAATGTACATTCCAGCTGAGGCCACGTTGTGTGTAAAGGACACCACTGATATGAAAATATCTGGAAAAAAATAAATAAATTATATATATATATATATATATATATATATATATATATAAATGGTGGTTTTCAGATTGTAGAATATGATTTTCTTATCCATGAGTTTCAGCTTCCTGTTTAAATTTGAGGATGGCTATCTATACAAAAAAATATAATATTTAGTTCATTGCTATGGCACTTGCTATTCCTAACTTGCAATGATTGTGAAACAATGAAACCCATAGATACTGAACCTGATCATTTCTATTAATGACTCATTGACCTTGTTATATTACAACAAAAACTACCAGATTTTCGGTTGAGTTGTGTCTGAGGGATGATGATCTGACAGGAGCTGGCCTCGTGAGTGTGTTTGACAGGATGATTTAGTAAACACATGACCCGGATCACACGCCCCACTTTCCTCACTCGCCCAGGAACATAGCTGGGGTCGCAAATCAGCTGCTTGCAGTAGAACAGCTGTAGAGAGAAGACTCCTTATTGATTATACATTCAAACAAGGCCTACACATATTTTTGTCCATTTACCATGTTTATAATGCATGTATAATTTCGTTACACAAGCAAATGTTTTGGAATAAATTGTTATGAATTTGTGCCTATTCAAAACAAACAGTATGTAATATACATACTTAGATGTGTTTCATGTTGGAATATTATAGCCAAAGGAACAAAATTTCCATAACAACAAGCAGGAAGAAGCCCTACTCCAGACCAAATAAAAGACAGGTTTCTAGAAATGCAAGCATCTTTGCATCTCTGCATCTTTGCATATATGCTCGTATTCACTGTATCTTAGATCATTCTCTTATTGTTTACCTTTCCCTCTGACTTCACAGCTTTCACTTTACCGTTCTCCATCACAATCTCATCTATTGGTCGGTTCAGCAAAAGGGTTCCTCCATACTCTGCATTCAACCTGAAACAAACAAAGTAAAGTATTTTATAGATATTAAGATTAAACTCTTAAACATAAAATATACCTTGCAAACCCCTGTGCTATCTCCCCCAGGCCATAGACAGGATAGAGGTATGGGCTGCTGTTGTGTCGGGACTGAGACTGGCAGTAAAGACTGATCATCCTGATGGTCTCTCTACAAGGCTCATCCAGGTAACTGAAAATGAGAGGATTCATTTCAAACACATAGGGACCAACATAAATATTTCCATGATTAATGGTTATAATATCTGTTTATGTTATATGAATGCCAGTCAGTGATAGCAGGGCTTTTAGCAGTGGCCCACCTAAGGCCCAAACCTGTTGTTGTTGCATAAGGCTATGGCATGTCCTGTGAACTCCATCACATCAAGCCCCAGATCAAAGCGAGAGAATAGGTCCCGGGTGGTGGTCTTGTTTGGGTCCACATCCTGGTATGTCCGTGGGTTTCTTAAGTCAAAGTTCATGGCGAAAAGGAGGAGCTTCCTGAATCTTCTTTTATCAAACATGCCCATAAGATCTACAAAATTAAGTATTGTCAGAAGTTAATGATCTCTCTTAAGGACTAGTTTATTAATTAATTATCTATTTATGTAGAGAAATATTTCAATAACAGGGTAGATTTAGGTTAAATGAAGGATGTGCACTAGGTGGAAGACAATTTTCACCACTCAAAAGATATATTTGTTTGAAATTCTTAAGTGATATGGCAACAGTCTCAATTTCTCATCATTCTGAAACACACACACACACATACACACAAACATACATTATTATAAAGTATATATTTACCTGAAACTTGGGCATCTTCTTCTGTAGCTGGGACTTTGTGCAATTTTCCACCTTTGTAAACATAACTGCCTTCAACAACTTTAAAGTCCAGATATCGAGTGACTTCAGTATAGACCAACATTTTCACCAGTTCACCTAATTCACAAAATACACATGAGTTCACCTATAATGGGATGAGACAAAGAGTAAAAGTAACCTTAAATAATCTCACTGCCTGCGAGAAAGAATTTAGGAATGAGGTCTACATTCCACTCTTTTCCTCGACACATGGTTTTAGCAGGACCCGGAAGTTTAAATCTCTTGTACAGCTGTTACAAAGAAACAAACATTTAACACAATGTTAGTTTTAAACATATGATATGACAGATGTTACCTCCTCTATGGGTGAAATGGATGTACTCCCTCCTCCATGATATGGATGGTTGTCAATGTGAAGAACTTTCTTTCCATGAAGAGACATTAAACCAGACAGGATACACTCCTACAACAAAAACACCAAGTACAGTATTTTACTACAAAGTCAGTTTACTGTCCTGACACAGATCTGCTGACCTTAGCTGACCAGTCCTCCTGTTAAACCTCAATGAGACCTTTGACTGAGACACAAAGGCAACTGAGAAGCGCAGTGTAAAGGTTGCAGCAAACCTGCAACAACTTCCTAAAGCCCAACTTAAATTCCCCTCTGGATCGATCTAAGTATCTCTCTCTATTTCATGTTAAAAGATGGTATACCTTATGCTAATTAAGTTATGAATAAGCATTTAATTCATTACCCAATCACTCTTCACAACTGCTCTGGCTTTCACATCACACTTAAATGAGACACTTGAAGTGTCTTGCCCAAGGACAAACTGTTAAGCACAGATAGGAACTGTAGAATTGTATCCATGGGTTTAGGGGGATGAGAGATTAGCACAGTTGTCACTGCGATTGACACTTCAAAACACAATATTCTTCTTTTGAGTGGAAAAACGTCTTTAAAATGTTGCTTGCAATCAGGAAGCTGAAATCCATGAACAGCCACCACTCCCCTATAAATTCATAACAAACTATAGCCCATAACCTGGCCTGA